TAATGTTAAGCAACTTTTACTATAATGTTCATTTTAATTTCTCATATAGAAATATAAACATTCAAATTTTAATTTAGTTTCTAAGAATTGTGTTGCTGAATTTTTAATTGTGTTATTTTTTGAGTAAGCATGCTTAAAAATTGTGGCAGACAAAAAAGGAAAAATATGGCAGTTTCTCTCCTGCAAAAATCAATGCATTTACAAATAAAAATATATATGTACCCTTTCAATTGTAATAATGACATAATGTTGAGATTCAACAGCTGTATACTTTTAGTATTTAAATATACATGTAATAATTTCAAATCAATTTCAGAATCGGATGTGATGTCATATTCTTATTACTTTTAAAGGGATACTCAGGCAAAATAATGACAAAAATATATAAATGATCTTGTGTACTGAAATCACACTAAAATGGCATTTCTTTAAGTCCCAGCATGAATTTCTGTATAAATTCTATATATTTGGGGTTTGAAGCTTAAATATATCTATATATGTTGAAGGAAATTTAGAAGCCAACAGAATCACTAAATAGTTTAAAAACAAGTCATGTGATTTGAACAAACCCAGGAAGTTACAATAACAGGTACTGTGGATATTGTATGATTGAAACAAGTTCAAGTTTAAATTTATTTGACATGTTCTTTAAAGTTCCAGAGTTAACTGTGACAACTATTTTGAAATCTAATGCTCTAACCTGACCCACGCCGGTCAAGTTAGGAAAACACCATTTTATTCTTTATATGGAGAAAAGTTTTGTTCCTTTAACTGTTTAGTGTATTCATTTTGAGGACATTTACAGAATAATGAATGAAAAATTCAAAACTAATAAATGAAAATTTTGCCTGTGTCTCCCTTTAAAAACAACTTTTTTTACGCAACTTTTACTTAATACTGTACATGTATTTGAAAATAAAAAAACAACATAAAACTGATTATATATAAAATTAGACAATCTTTATCAGGATGAAACACAGCAGAATTCTTGGACATAAAATAATATGAGATTATAAAATTAAAATCATGCAATATGAAATTGGTGAGAAACAATTATTTTTAAATATTTCATTACTTGGCGTTTCATAAACAGTTAAAGCAATTTTGCAATTTTCTAAACAGTAGAAAATATTTTTTAACAGGCGTTCAGAGATTTTAAAATGAAAATATTTTTTTTTTTTTTTTTAAACAAAAAATAAATAATGACTCCAGATTGTGACGAGATGAGTGAAAAAATTACTACTGACAGGATTTTTTAAAAGTATAGAAGAATTTTTTTTAAAAGGGCACCTCATAGGGAAAAGAACAACATCAAAAAAGCTAATCATTTTAGTTTTTTTTAGTCAGTTTGTATTTATCAAAATGAACACATAGTGAAAAAGGATATTAAAAAAAAAACTTGTGTATAACAACTTTTTAACAGTACCGGTGTTTGAACATCTTTTACAAATTAACATACCTATGTGACAATTGTCTATGAACACAAAACATATAAGCCTAATGAAGTACTGGTTATTATTTATAAAATAACATTAAATTACTGCCCGCCAAATGACCCCCCGCCCCCCACCCCCTAACATAAAGAAACAAAAAAAACGACAACATACTATACTCGCCAAAAGAATGACCCCCGCCCCCCCCCCCCTAAAACTCTAAAGATTTTTCTCTACCCTTGGTATTACTGCAAACATAGACGGACCCCCCCCCCCCCCCCTAACTCCCTAAAGTATCTGGTCTATTACTGCCAAAATGAAACCCCCCCCCCCCCCCCACCAGCAAAAACCTCTTAATAATAAAACCATTTCACTAAAAATAAACATTATAAACCTTTTGCTACATACGATTTGGAATATAATTATAAATGAAATCCATCTTAACATAAAAACATATATTATTATATTATTAAGAGTCGAGGTTTTCAAAACCAGCATGTTTCACCATTTTCTATCTACATGACTGTGATGCAGATAAAGCAAATATGAGGTAGAATCAAACTTAATCAATGACAAATATACCTTTTTATGTGTAAGTTTTGAAGCACCTTTTTACAATTTTAGATTAAAAGTATTCACAGAAGTGTTGTTACCTGTTATGATGTAAAATGCAAAATTATTACAATTTTACTCCTCCCAATATATAAAAGGTGATTAAATAATTAAAACAAAGTTAAGTTTGAAATGTGATTTTGGTTTATAACAATCCTCGCTGCTCCAAAACATTACATTATATACATATTATTTACGCCACATTTCCTAGTGCAAAAACTGTAGTTAAAAGATATAGAATGAGTTCACAGCCAAGATACAAGCAACAAATATACCACAGTACTTTGACTTCAACATAAAAAATGCTTGCTAAAATGTTAAAAAAGGTTAGTAATAATAAAAAATAAAACTTTTTTGTAAATAACTTTGAAAACAATGGTCTTACACCAGAATTAAAATGCCAAGTTATTCAAATAATAACGAACACAGATAGCAATCAAATTCCTACAACAATTAGATATTCCGATTATATAAAATAATTCCATTCTTCAATATACATTGAAACAATTTTACATATATATAGAAACTATCACCAGAATTAGTAGCATATAATTTCATTACCATACTTTAACATTTCCCCCATATGTTTACAGTAAATATAAACACAATATATCAACATATTAAAATCAATGAAAAAAAAAAACATCTCGAAATTCATCTATGTGAGATTAAAAATTAAATATTACTAAAATTGGAGCCAATATCACTTCACAGGCAAAATATACATAGTCTACACATGTAAGGGACAAAACTCATTATGTAACAAATCACACAATTAGCCAGATTCTTAAAATATCTTTATTTTTATAATATATAAAACCCTTGAAAAATAATCTTTGATATGCACACCTCAATAATGATTTTTTCACTAATTGTACAATTATTTACCAAAATAAGTGACCATATCTTCCTTTTCTTACAAGATACTGGAATTCTTTTCTTATACTTTATCTAGATTTCCCCTCATTATCAAAACAGTGTTTCAATTGATAGTATTGCTCGGTAGCCTAGCCAACAACCGACCCATTCACTGAAATAAAAATAATTTGCTGCTTGATGAGTGAACACCATAAAAAAGTATATAACAGGCGTATTCGAAATTGTTAAATATACATGTACCATAATATAAATACGTCAATAATAAAGAGTCACTTTAGCATGATGTGCCTTTCATATGTTTGTTATGTTGACCAGCATTAATAGAAGTTTGACACTTCCAGTAAAACAGAAATTAAACAAACATTATATAAGAAACCAGTGCATTCTTAGGATTATTCAAGTGTTTACACAACAGAAGTACTACTACAAAAAGCATGATCATTTATTACATGTTTTGTGTGGTTTATTAGAAGAAATAATCAGTGATATTAAAACTGGTAATTTTTCACTGTTTGAAAACAGTGAAATTACCACTTGATAATTTCACTGTTTTTGAATTTAAGCCCCTTACGTATGTTTCAGTGAAAATACTTAGCGTGCACAGTACTGGGTACCAATCTTAATTGATGGACCTCATAAATGATGTCATGTTGCATTATTATTTGGAGCACTTTTCATTCAGTATTAGGTTTAATGTCTTTTTAAAACGTTTCTTTGCATGTAATAAAAAGAAAATTTGTTTAGTTTAGTGTAAGATTGAAATATATTTCACCTTGTGAACACCAAAAGTTCATATTTCACTTGTGACTGTGCCACTCGTGAAATATACCTTTTGGTGCTCACTCGGTGAAATATATTCTGATCTTACACTGAACTAAACAAACATCCTCTATTTATCCACACTGTCAATAATGACTTTTTTAAGAGCATGTACAAATTCAAACTGACAGCATATTCATTTGATATAAACTGAATGCATAACTGCCATAATAGCTTTAAGTCAATGTTACCTTAACATTTTATAAAACAGAACTGCATGTGTAAATGCTTGTCTGTTCAAGGCAATGATTATGAATTACCAATTTTGACCAAACAAATAATCCAAGTTAAAAAGTTGCATTACTTGAAAAACATAGCTCTCAAAAAAATGCCCTTTGTTTTACAACTACACCTCGTCATGATAAGCAAGTATTCAAAGTTTTTTATTACATGCTTTTCGGTGGTTTATAGAAATATATCAGTGATATAAAACTGGTAATTTCACTGTTTAAAACTAGAAATGTGTCCATAGGACACAGGTGCCCCCACCGCGCCACTGTTCTGTCAATCTTTTTACTAAGTCAAGGGAAATAACTCTACAAATACTGGATAAATCCACAAGCTAAACCCCAAGTGCAAATCTAAATATGCTGAGCAACTAGCCCATAAGTTTAATGACTATGTCAAATCCTTTTTGAGTAACTTGCGACACAAATTGAAAATTGCAAAAATTTTCTAAGTGAAGGGCAATAACTCTAAAAATACTTGATAAATCCAGACGAAAATACCTGGTGCACAACTACACATGCTGATCAATATTCCTGTAAAGTTACAGACTCTAGGTCAATTACTTTTTTGAGTTAAAATGCGACACAGTTGAAAATTGCAAAATTTTACTAAGTCAAGGGCAATAACTCTGAAAATACTAATACCCAGGTGCACAACTACAGATGCTGATCAACATTCCTGTTAAAGTTTTCATGACTCTAGGTCAAATACTTTTTGAGTTTTACATGCGACACAAGTTGAAAATTGCAAAATTTTACTAAGTCAAGGGCAAAATAACTCTGAAAATACTAAAAATATCCTGACGAAAATACCCAGGTGCACAACTTCACATGCTGATCAACATTCCTGTAAGTTTCATGACTCTAGGTCAAATACTTTTCGAGTTACATGCGACACAAAAGTGAACGACGGACGAAGGACGGACGACAGCGAACGGACAGACAAGGGTAAATTAAATGCCCGCCACTAACGTTGGGGGCACAAAAAGTGAACATCAGTCTTAACATAATTGTTGTTGTTAACAAACCATTAAAATATCTTACCAGGCACCCCAGCTAATTCCTGAATTTTGAGCACATACTCTTGGGCTTTTTCTGGGAGATCATCAAAACTTCTGACATCTTCAGTGTTTGTGTTCCAGCCAGGTAATGTCAGATATTCTACCTCAACTTTCTGCAGCTTCTCATCTGTGGCTGTAATTACAAAAAAAACAACGAATATCTAGAGTAACACTGAAAGTGATTAATACCCAACCAACAATTTTGACTTTTTTAAAACAAAAGGGCCATGATGGCCCTGGGGTCGCTCACCTGAACATAGGCCCCCAGGGCCGGGCCAGTTTTAACCAAAGGGCTTTTATTTGAACAAACTTGAAACTGGGAAGACACCTATTAGAAGATATTTCATGATGTTAAGTTTTTACTATAAACAAATAATAAATAACAATGACTTTTGCCCCCCCCCCCCTCTCCCTGGCAGGGCCAATTTTGACCCAAGGGCTTTTATTTGAACAAACTTGGTAAACATCCATTAGAACATGTTTCATGCTAAATATCTTAGCTCTAGCTCTTTGGGTTCTTTAATAGAAGATTTTTAACTTTTTACTCTATGTATATAGGGAAAATCAATGACCCCCTGGGACAGGGCCAATTTTGACCCCAGGGCTTCTATTTGAACAAATTTTGAAAGACATCCATTAGACATGTTTCATGCTAAAATATTTAGCTCTAGCTCTTTTGGTTCTTTAAAGATTTTTTTTTTAATTTTTTACTATATGCATATAGGAAAAATCAATGAACCCCCTGGGACGGGGCAATTTTGACCCATGGCTTTTATTGAACAATCTTGTAGACACTTATTAGAAGATGTTCATGCTTAAATCTTTTTAGGTCTAGCTCTTTTGGTTCTTTAAAGAAGATTTTTTAAAGTTTTTACCAAATGCATATAGGAAAAATCAATGACCCCCTGGGGCGGGCCCAATTTTGACCCAGGGCTTTTATTTGAACAAACTTGGTAGACATCCCATTAGAACATGTTAATGCCAAATATCTAAGCTCTAGCTCTTTGGGTTTTTTTAGAAGAAGATTTTTTTTTAAGTTTTTATTTATATGCATATAAGGAAAATCAATGACCCCCTGGGGCGGGGCCAATTTTGACCCAGGGCTTTTTATTTGAACAAACTTGGTAGACACTCATTAGAAGATGTTTCATGTTTAATATCTTAAGTCTAGCTCTTTGGTTTTTAAAAGAAGATTTTTTTAAGTTTTTACTATATGCATATAGGGAAAATCAATGACCCCCCTGGGGCGGGGCAATTTTGACCCAGGGTTTTTATTTGAACAATCTTGGTAGACACTTACTAGAAGATGTTTCATACCAAATATCTAAGCTCTAGCTCTTTGGGTTTTCTAGAAGAAGATTTTTAAAGTTTTTTCTTTTGGTTGCCATGGCAACCAGAGTTCTGCATGGAATGGAATTCTTTGAACAACTTTGTTAAGGCTTCACACAAGGAACATCCCTGTGAAGTTTCATTATGATCTGCCTTATGGTTTCAGAGGAGATGTCGTTTAAAAGTGTGAACGGACAAGGTACGACGGACGACAGACGACGGACGAAGAGTGATCCTAATAGCTCACCCTGAGCATATGCTCAGGTGAGCTAAAAAAAAGTTGTCTAAAGAAAGATTTGAACTCAACCTATAGTAGATGAAGTATCAACTGTGTACAAAGAATTATTCAAATAAATTGCAATATCAACTGGGTCACCTTAGAGGCTTGCTTTACATCAAGTTTGATTACAATATCTCATTCTTAACTCTAGTTATTGACCACAAACCATTTTTTCTATTTTTGGTGACCTTGACCACAGGGGGTCCAAATGCAATACCCACCAGGGTTTCCACATAAAGATTGCTATATACCAATTTGATTACAATACTTCACTCCAAACTTAAGTTATTGTCCTGAAACCATGATGTGGACGGACAAACCAACCGACAAGCAGACTCCTATATGCCCCCCTAAACTTTTGTAGGGGTACAATAATAAAACAACTATCATTGTCATGTAAATACAGTTTACAATGTAAACTTACACATCTGAATATCACCTTAACTATAAACAAAAACTTCCTAACAGAAATATATAACCCACTGTGATTATTCATTTGACAATACCATATTGTCCTTAAAGGAACCATCAAATACAGTTAAATTAGGCCATCCTTAAAAAAATGTTCGTTTGCAGTAATGCCACCGACTCACAAAATTTGCCCCTACTGAAAAATTTTTTTCATGGTCTGGATAAAAAATTTTTATTCTGAATCAGAAAATTATGCCTTGTGCTTTGTTTTCGTTCTTTTAAAGGTTAATGGAAGAAATAAAAGGTAGGTCTTATTAAATTAGAATTCAGTTATCAATTTATTAATTGTTACCAGATTATTAAGGCATATATTGTCCGGCATTTTGAAATTCCATGTTTATTTGAGAGTACAAAAAAATCGACCTACCTACCCACCTTGAAAATTCTGGGTCGGGTTACTGCAAACAAACATTTTTTTAAGGATGGCCTCACAGCATAAATTTTCTAAGCATTGTAAAGTAATTTACCTGGGAAGCTGTCTACAACTTTTTGTCCATCTAGCTGATAGGCAACACCAATCTTTATCTCCTCAAATGTGTCCAGAATGTCAAGTTTAGTGATTGCCAACCTGTTAGAAACAAAAGTTACCTAATATATGATGTGTATGAAATATAACATGCAGAAATTTAATAATTTTACAACTTTTTTCCATCACAATTCCAATTATCAAGGTCACATTACAACATTACAAGTAAACTGATAGATTTTAAGACTTCTGTATGATGTCTTTTCTACATATTGAAATAAAAAAGTTTTATTTCACTATTAAAATTCTTCCAAGCATAAAAGATACCATACCAGATAAACAAAAAGACAAGATTTCTCAAGTCAGTGTTTTGTTTGACACTGAGTGCTTCCATAAGGTAATTACTTTTTAACTTCATATCATACAAGAGTATATATTCGATAATATACATACGCTGTGAAGCCATTGATCATATGTGAATAGCGTAACATGACCATGTCTAGCCAGCCTACACGCCTTTTTCTTCCTGTTGTTACACCATACTCATGACCTCGGTTCACCAATTTCTCCCCTTTTTCCTATAATAAACATTTGCCAACAAGTTAATTTCAAATAACACAAAGGACTTGGACAAAATAATCACAGTCAATTTTGAAAACAAGATAAAAGATAAAACTGCTATTTATATAAAACATAGTCTACAGCAAGTCGAGTCAGCACTTTCCATATTGTCAGATTAACACCTTACTACACTGATGCTAATATCATTTTTGGTTTGTTAAAGATATATCTTGTATATAAAATGAGCTATTCCTAATTCAAATAAAAACAAAATCCACTGTATAATAATTTTATTAGAAATTGAGTAAATTAGAAATTGAGTAAATATCTTACACAGTTCAGTTCTGTTGGGAATCCACCTGATCCTACTCTAGTTAAGTAAGCCTTCACAACTCCATATATATTACCTATAACATGTGGTGGTATACCTAGACCTGTACATACACCTCCCACACTGCAATTTGATGATGTTACATATGGGTACAAACCTAAAAACATAAATGAAATTAAAATAAAGACACATTCATTACAGATTTTTGTATTTAATTATATTTAATGCTTATATAGACTTGTAAATATACAGAGAAACAAGTTGATTTCGAAATAACAAATAGCAAAAGAGTTGGACCCAAGTTCTTACAAGCAATCAGCCCTCCCTTATAACAGATTTTTGTAACATAGTAAGACAAAGATCTTTTATTTTTTTTTAATTCTAAAAGTTTACTTATAAAACCAATCTTTCACAAGTCATAGTAAACAGAAGAGAACAAGAATTATTAATTAAAGAATTTGAATATTCGGTAATAAAATCTGAGTTTAAGATTATTGCTGCTGACCAGATTGAACCAGATAACTTACCAAAGTCAATATCTAGGACATTAGACTGTGCTCCTTCTACCATTACAGTTTTACCAGACTGTATTGCTTTATTCAGATATGGTATTGTGTCACATATTAGGGGACGTATCTTTTCTGCAAGATTCTGTAAAAACACAAAAATATTTTTTACTTTCTAATTTTTATACAAAACTTTTCTTTCTTTTAACAGACAGTTTGACTAGACATAATTTCTTTAAAAGTTATTCTAAATGACTTACATATTCTATTACAAGAACAATGGCATAGCATATAGGTAATATAAATATAAATGTGTTATCCAAAATTGTGAAATTTCAGTATTCACTACATTGACATAATTTTTGAACCAAATATCATGAACATTCATCTTGCTGTTTATATCATACATTGTTGACAAAAAAAGGCTAGCCACAACCTCTGATTTTAAACTGTGTCCTTTAAGTTAAAGGCCCAACTGGACTATAAAAGCCAGCAGATGGCGCTAGGGCAGGTTTCTTATTAATTTTATGCATGCTTCACTTCTGGGACCCTTTTTCAAAGATTTAAGATTAATTACCAAATGCATTAAAACAACATTTGGCATGTTTGTAGGCATAGATATTTTTGATAAAGATTGACCAAAATTATTCAAAATATAACTTTGTTAAGTGTATTTCTGGAGAAAAATACTGGCTGTCAAATTTGAAATTTGAATTTCCCTGGGAGGAGCCATGTGATCATTACAGGTCATGAACCTTCAGTAGTAAACAAAAGCACGTGGCAGTGTTTATTTCAGGGAGCAGACGATGTATATTTCAGGGAGGGAGATTTTCAGCAGACGACACATTGGAATGCTGAATAAAACAATAACTTTTACTGACTTGCTTTATCAAATCCAACAAATTTACAATAATCCATTAATCTATGATTTTTTTTAATTTTCAAAGTACTGATATAACTTGTATTTGAATAGTTTAAACTTCATGAAAACAGTAAAAGTAACTTCCAGGTATATTTCATTTACACTATATTTTTTTGTAAATATCTTGTAGTCAAAAATTACATTTCACAAATGTTATTCAAACTAAATGTTGCATATGCATAAAAATTTAATATATTAACAGTTAAAAAATATTTTAAATTCCTGTCTAGAACATTTTTAGCAGGTTGTTCCTAAAAGAAATGCCCCATGTATTAGGCACATCTTTTGGATTTTGATATAATTGTCTTACTTGATGAAGGACACATACAGCATTCCAGTGAAAAAAAAGAAAACAACTGACTTCAAAAATAATATCTGGACAAGATGACTTGATAATGGCTTTTTTTAATCTTTGAGTTATATAAAACATTCATTAAACCTCTCCCGTGTAAAATCAGCTTTTTTTGTTTACATTCTCTCTGCAGGTTAACACTGCATGCTATTTATAGTTCAGGGTTTATAACAGACAGTTTTACATCACTGATTAGTCACACCCACAAATACTCGCTGCCGCGGCAGCGAATGTTGCCCCTTTAAATCAATGCATCTTAAAACTGGATAGTGTATCAATTTCAAAATGAACATTTCAGCAGAGCAAAAAACAATCTAATTGATTTCAGGAAGGATCTTACTTATATTGGGGATGTAAGTTTTTTTTTTTTTGTTGTTGTTTATTATGCTGATTTTAATACCTATTTTGGTTGAATCTCAGTGGTCAATCAATCTCACCAGCTTTCCTGGATAAATAACCAGTACTCAGTAATACTAATCACATTTGATTTCAGAATCAGCAGTGAGTAGACTCAGAGATCAATTGTAATGCAGAAATTTGAGCCAAGTCATGACAAAACCAACATAATGGGTTTGCGACCAGCATGGATCCAGACCAGCCTGCGCATCCACGCAGTCTGATCAGAATCCATGCTGTTCACTATCAGTTTCTCTACTTGTAATAGAGTTGGTAAGCAAACAGCATGGATCCTGATCACTGCAAGAATGTGCAGGCTGGCCTGGATCCATGCTGGTCGCAAACCCATTATGTTGGTTTTGTCCTGACGCGGCTCATTTTGCCTTGCCAGCTACTTCTCGATTACAAATCCTATGCTCTCCCTTCTGGGCTTAGTATAAGCACAACAAGTTCTGGCTTTATTTTACAACTTCACCAAAATATATAAGTAATCATTCACCTTGTATATATTCAATTCTTTATTAACATCAACTTCTAACCCCTCATAATGTTTCTTGTAATAATCAACAAGTTTCTGGAACCTGAAAAAGAACATCCAATAGTTTTACCATACTATGAACTAGCAGGGCTGAAGCAGCCCATCCCTTAATTTTGGGGGGAAATTACACAGCTTATCTGCAAAAGGGGAAGAAAAAACTTTTTGTCAATTCAATTTTTGGGGAAAATTGCATGATTTTAAAGAATTTTTCTTTGAGGAAGCAGCCCTAAACTGGCCCCTGCTATAGAAGGAAAAAAAGCCCTAACTAGAAATCTTAAATTTCAGGCACTTCTTTCGTAAATTACAAAATTTCAGTTCTTACAGTAGAAAATAGTTTACCTTTCTGAAAATACATCGAAATCACCAATCAAGTCACCCATCCTTAACCCACTTCTTGTAGCCTATAAAATGAAAACAAGATAATTCAAATTTCAATCATTTAAATAGTCCACATGAAGATTTATTTCATTTACAGATAAAAGTACACTTCTGTTTTTTTTATGGTTCCTAGTTTGTGTCTTACATCACAATGAAAACATAATAGAATTTGCAACTAAAATGAAGAAATACTCTAGATGCCTCTCTGTACTTACCACATCTATCCATCTCCCATAAGCATATTTTAGTTTTGTTACAAAAAAAAAAAAACTTAACAGGACTTATAAAAAGAACAATGGTCAGTAATTAAATGGAACAAATTACCAAATATATGAGCCACGTAACAACAAAACCAATATAGTGGGTTTGGGACCAGCATGGATCCAGACCAGCCTGCGCAGCCGCGCAGTCTGATCAGGATCTATGCTGTTCACTTACAAACCCTATAACAAGTAGAGAAACTGATAGAAAACAGCATGGATCCTGATCAGATAGCACGGATGCGCAGGCTGGTCTGGATCCATGCTGGTCCCAAACCCACACGGTTCTTATTGCTTTCTAACAAACCTTTGAAGAATAAGCTGGTCCAATGCCCTTTTTAGTTGTACCAATACTGAAATAATAAATAAATCACTTAGGTGAAATACAGGACTGTAAATATAAAATATTGATGTACAGATTGTTACTTTATGCAGTATATAACAGACACAAGTAAAATATAACAAATGAAGACAGGTACCAATGAAATCAATATATATATATTCATTATATGATAAAAAAAGTCTGGAAGTGTTCTTGTAACCCATAGTTTAAGTGAACAAAACTGATCATTTTACAAATACAAAACTCTAATCCAATAGAGAAAAATCAGTATCACATGAAAGAGAGTATGTGTAATGCATGTCAATACATCTAATTTGTCATACAGTATTGAATCCTTTATTTAAACTTGTCCTGATAACATGTTACATTCATTTCATATATACAATAAATATAAATATATTACACTAAAGCTATTCACCATTAAATGTTGATTTTCATTTATTTTCTTTTTTCAAAAAGTTTTAAAGCCTTTAAAGTAAGACATATAACAAGTAAAAGTAAAGGTGTTACATAAAGATGTTTAGGAAAACACTTTTATCATTCATTATCACAAGTTTATAAACTTTTCAAAACTACACAGTTGACCGGGTACATACAGATTAGAAAAAAATAATTTTTACTTCTAACTGGAATATTAGTGTCTGAACTGAGCTTTCATTCCTAAATTATTAATCTTAACTTCACATAATAGACACATTTTTCTCTTTAGAAAACATTTTAATGCGCATGTAATTTTTTTGGTAACTTATTCACTCCAAATATAACTTCATATAATTTCAAGGTAATATTATATGCATTACTGTTAATAAAATATCTGAAAAGTCAGGAGTTTTTTACTTAATTACCACTAAAATAGGCACAAATAACAATGGAATATAAATGGCAGATAAGACATTACCCATTATCTTTACAAAATCATTGCAAGTTTTTAGAATACAGAACATTATTATCAGTAGTCTTAAGGACAAAGGCCTGAATTATTATTACATGTACATGTATGTCTAAGTGTAAATTTTGCTGTGTCTCTGGCATTAAAATTATCAACATTAAAACTTTTATAGACAAATGATTTTAGCTTGGTAGGGAAGCATTATAACATCATGGTCTAAATGCAAATGGTTTTTCGCACTTGTTTATAATTTTTATACATGTTAAAGCTGATAAAAATATTTACAACATAATACAAAATCTTTAAACATTCATTAGCAAGTTTAGCATGTTTACATGTCATTCAATTAGCATAATCAGACTATATGTCGAAACAAATTATGTTCACATGTATAGCATTATAGAATGACTTACAGGTCTTTGCCGCGGCCCGTTTCTTGCATACCATCAACATGCTGATGAAGGTCAAAAACTGTAATGACAAGCATTTTACACATTTTTGCTGCATATTATCACTTACACGTGTAATGATGTTTTGTCTAACATACTGACATGCATTACTAATAGAATGAAGGCAATAAGTAAGGGAAAACATTATATTAAACTACTTGTAAAGAAACTATTATTATAAATCATTTGTTACTTTGCTTCTATCTAGGAAAAACCTCATTAATGCATGCATATATGATTTGGCTTTTGTCCAAAAGTGTTTCAAGATAACAGTAACATCGTAAAAGAAAACATAAGGCCAAGACAAAATAAGTTTCTCTTCAACGATACATAAAATATAATGTTTATTTACCTGCATATTGTCTTCATTTTATTAGTTAGCATTCTGAATGAAACAAGAGTAATTTCATATATAAAACATGTTGCCATATGAACACTACTGTATGATGGGAGTTTTGAGAAACAGTATTGTACCTATATGTGCCCTGTTAGATATCAACAGTCTTTCCTGCCATCTTTCTAAACCAACTTCCTCAGCATTCTTCAGTTCCTCTAACAACTGCTCTATATGTACAACACATCCATTTCCTACAAAAAATGTAAAATAATCAAATTAATATTGTCATACTAACTGGTGTTGGGTGTGTCCTAGCTCTTCAAAATTATGACTGACAGAACAATAAGTTAACAAGCATGCATTTATAATGCCACCTCAAAATCTGAAATTGCCTGTTCCAAATTTAAAAGCTGCACGAGTCCATTCCCTAGCATTTAGTGTTTTGAGTTCAAAAAAGTTCATGAATAAAATGTGTCAAGATGTTTTGATTTTCTGTTTGTAAATTATTCGATTGTTTCTGGTACACAGTAATATCAATAGCATCAATATTGCAATTTTTCTTCATGAGTATTGAATTTTCCTTTGTTTATGATTCAGAAATCTTTTCGATCTATGAAAAATAGAAGTGCCTGCCTGGTGCCTATTCATATATGCTTAAAACAATACATAGCGACACACTGTGTGACTTTAATTCTTTAATAATGGTTGGAAAGATAACCATATTATAATTTTTTTTCATACTTATAAACCAAAATATAAACTGTAAAATCATTCATTTTACAAAGTTGTCAAGAGAAAATAATAGATATTCTTTAGTGTAGGAATCTTAAATAATTAATGTTATATTTATTCATTGGATTTACTCAAAGAAAGTGCATTAAATATCAATGTCTGTTGTTCATGAATAATTCAAGCCATCAGTAGCTTTGAAGGCAGAGAAGAAGTGTTTACAAGTGCCTTATGGAGAGATAGTTATAAAAATCTCATGAGTCATTTGTAAAGGAGTTTGTTGTCACAAACAGACTTTAACCTTCTGTCTGACTGGTACTTACAAGATTCAACTTATTTTAATGAGAGTCATTAATTTGATATTTTTTCTCTCCATTTCCTTCTTTTCATTAAGTTTTGTTGTACATTGATGTAAAACAACAATATATCATTTTAAGTACTGAAATATTAGAATTAAAACAATAGAAAAACATTTCTGATGAAACAAGGATAACCTATTTTTTAAGTTGACACTTTACTAGTTTACGCCAACTAAAAGATAACAAATAGCTGATATAATAGAAATAGATCTTGACTGGATCAAGTTTAACTAGGTTAAATTCAATTTAATCAGGGCAAGCTATGAACTTATTGAATGCATGATCAGATCTTGTGAATCCTATCAGATTTTACAAGGTCATTCAAAATATAACTATATTATATACTATTTTAGTTCACAAAGTAATGTCTGCATTTAAATACTTATCAAAGTTTTAGGTATACAGACATAAATACAAGATTGAAGAATCAGTTAGTTGAGCAAGTAGCGTAGACAATGAAAACTTTTACATAAATTTACTTATTAAATCAGCTTTGGCAATTACTGTATATGTTATACTCCACCATACACTGCAAATTAATATCAAAACCAGTTGGCCACCATTAAAAAAAAAAACAAGAGGGCCATGATGGCCCTGAGTTCGCTCACCTGTATATAGGTCCCCGGAGCGGGGCCAGTTTAAACCCCAGGGCTTTTATTTGAACAAACTTTGAAGATACTCATTAGAAGATGTTTCACAATGTTAAGTTTTTACTACACACATGTAATGAAAAACAATGATCTTCCCCCCCCCCTCGGCCTGGCAGGGCCAATTTTCATCCAAGGACTTTTATTTGAACAAACTTGGCAGACATCCATTAGAAGATATTTCATGCTAAACATCTAAGCTCTAGCTCATTGGGTTTTTTAAAAGAAGATTTTAAGTTTTTACTACACACATAAAAACAATGACACCCCTAAGGCGGGGCCAATTTTGACCCCAGGCCTTTTATTTAAACAAACTTGATAGACACTCATTAGAAGATGTTTCATGCTGAATAGCTTAGCTCTAGCTCTTTGGGTTCTTTAAAAGAAGATTTTTTTAAGTTTTTACTATATGCACTAGAAGATGTTTCAAGCCAAATATCTAAGCCTTAGCTCTTAGGGTTTTTTAAAAGACAATATTTAAAGTTTTTTCTTTCGGTTGCCATGAAAACCAGAGTTCTAGATGGAATTAAATTCTTTGAACAATTTTTAAAGGTGACCACCAAAAGAACATTCCTGTGAAGTTTGGATGAAATTGGCTTAGTGGTTTATGAGGAGATGTCACTTAAAGTAAAAGTTTACGGACGGACGCCAGAAAAAAAGCGATCACAAAAGCTCACCCTGTCACTTTGTGACAGGTGAGCTAATAATTTGATATCTTTTACTATTTCTATAATAGGACAACATGGCTGTTGTTTTTCCAGTGAAATATTCAAAAGTTTGCTTTCCATCTTACTACGAAGAATCTTCCTTACCTTTTTATGAGGCACATTTTCCCAATAAAATAACAAACATAAACATTAGAATAGGAATGAGAATTTTTGTTAATAACTAGTATTAATAATAATAACATATTTACACTGTAACATGCATCACACATGTAGCTTTTATAGAAGTTTGAAATACTGCTTTTTGTTGTTGTTTTTTTTTTTTTGGAGGGGGGGGGAGGGCAATTTATGAGGCATTTGCTTTTAATATACAAATTGCAATGAAATATATACAATAGCATTACTTATAGCATTACTTTATGCAATTCATTGTATGCAAGGATTTCATATTACAATACAAGTACTTGAATCTGGTCAGACAGCATTGCTATCATGGGCTTGTTTTACATTTACCTTTCTTTATAACAGTGACATATACATGCTATGATAGCCATTATAGGTTATTTCAACAATGTAAGTTATACATGTATATGTTTCTAACTATCTACTTTTATTCATCTACATTTATATTCATTATTGCATGATTCTATACATACCGAACATTAAATTAAACAAAATTGTACAACAATCAATATACCACTGAAAATTGAACATGCAAATATAGGCTTACCAATAACGGCAACACATTTTGTGTGTACTATACCACTAGGTAACATGTGGAATGCATATCTCTTATCTCCAACAACAACAGTGTGTCCAGCATTGTTTCCTCCCTAAAATACAACAAAACTGCCAGTTAAACTTTGTTGTAACCCTTAACCAGAAGTAATTAGCCTATATCAAAAGTACTGAGCTAAGACATGCCGTGTGACCAAGCTATATACAGCTACTGCTGGTAGGCTAGCTCAGTTTTGTATTTTGGTATTAAAAAATCTCTTTACCTTTAAAAAGTGGTTAAAATTAAAAGCCAGGTAATTTTATCACACAAGTTCAGCAGGTTAAGTTGATGATAATATAAATGAAGAACAGGGCTCAAAGAGAATAAACTGAAGTAAATGGGGACAGTTAAAACAGAATGTTAACTATTAACAATATCAATTGAATAACAAACAGATTCTACAAATCTGAAATATAATTATGTACCAAATATTTTTATGAGCCACGCCATGACAAAACCAACATAATGCGTTTGCAACCAGCATGGATCCAGACCAGCCTGCCCATCCAAGCAATCTGGTCAGGATCCATGCTGTTCACTTACAAACCCTATAACAGGTATAGAAACTGATAGCCCTGATCAGACTGCTTGGATGCGCAGGCTGGTCTGAGTCCATGCTGGTCGCAAACCCATTATGCTAGTAATGTCATGGGGCAGCTCATATGTAGTCCTATATTGGGCCTGTAAATCTCACAAAAAGAGTGGAAGGGGCACCATGTTTCAACAGATCAGGGCTCCAGATAATTTTTTAGGGCAATGAGTATTTACTCATTGATTTTGTTGTGAATGAGTAAAACTAGAAATCTGAAATTTGGCAGGAGTATTTTTACTCCTTAAAATGTATGTAAAAGAGTAAAACATTTATTATGCTTCCATGTTTATTGCATTATCATACTTGTAATACAAGATATGTCAAAGTCATTTCTTTTGCTTTTTTGACTTCCTTGGTTTACAATCTTGCATTTCCAAACGGCATACGTTTTATCTGAACTAGAGGCATGTTACTGTTGCTCATACGTGGCAGCGCTAATTATTTCATTAATTATAACCTTAACCGATTTTTTTCGGCATAAAATACGAGTCAATCGTTTTAACTTTTGACAGCGACATTGTACCTGGTGTTTATGAAATTGTGTTAATTCCACCACCTTACTATACATACGATACCATCCGATGATAGTCGGAACTACAGGAAGTTTCCGTTAGACCTTGCAAAGCATTCATACGTAGTTAATTCCACCACCATACTATACATACGATAACAACCGATGATGGTCGGAACTACAGGAAGTTACCGGTAGACGCTTGCAAAGCGTTCAGACGAAATTAAAAATAAGATAATCACGAGTTTACTTTCGGTTACGTTTACGCGAAAGAAATGTTGCTCAATGCGTAACCTGAATTTTGTGTGCGTTTTCATACGCTTAAATTTTGTTTTGAATGCGTAAACGTGTTATTTCCATGCGTAATTTACGCGTATACGCATCTTATCTGGAGCCATGCAGATACATGTATCACTTATACACTATGTATTAATATATAAGTATCAAATCCGTATAGTACCTATGTTAAGTTTTGAAAGTTTCATTATGTACATTGTACCATTACCCTAAGAGGGGTGAAATTTATTTGTTTATTTATTTATACCAAACATTATCTAGCAGTAAGAATAATAAGACTTCACCTTTTAAGGAGGCAGATGCTAATTAAAGTTGCTCTCTATTTTGGGTTTTCGAAAATAGCTTGCAAAGATTTGCAAAGGTAACATAAATAACTATTTTTAACAAGAGGGCCATGATGGCCCTGAGGTCGCTCACCTGTATATAGCCCCGCCCCCCATCCCCGGGCCAATTTTTACCCAAGGGCTTTTATTTGTTTATTTGAACAGACTTGGTAGACACCCATATGAAGATGTTTCATGCTAAACATCTAAGTTCTAGCTCATTGGGTTTTTTAAAAGAAGATTTTAAAAGTTTTTGCTATACACATACAGTTAAAAACAATGACACCCCAGGGGCAGGGCCAGTTTTGACCCCCGGGCTTTTATTTGAACAAACTTTGTAGATATTTACTTAAAGATGTTTCATGCTTAATATCTAAACTCTAGCTATTTTGGTTTTTTCAAAGAAGATTTTTAAGTTTTTGCTATACACATAAAAGGAAAATCAATGACCCCCCCACCCCCCGGCCGGGGCCAGTTTTGACCCCAAGGCTTTTATTTGAACATACTTGGTAGACACCCATTAGAACATGTTTCATGCTTAATATCTTAGCTCTAGCTCTTTGAGTTCTTTAAAAGAAGATTTTTTAAGTTTTTACTATATGCATATAGGGAAAATCAATGACCCCCTTGGGCGGGGCCAATTTTGACCCCAGGGCTTTTATTTGAACAAACTAGGTAGACACTCATGAGAAGATATTTCATGCTAAATATCTTAGCTCAAGCTTTTTAGGTTCTTTAAAAGAAGATTTTTTAAGTTTTTACTATATGCATATAGGGAAAATCTATGACCCCCTGGGGCGGGGTCAATTTTGACCCCAGGGCTTTTATTTGAACAAACTTGGTAGACATTCACTAGAAGATGTTTCATGCCACATATCTAAGCTCTAGCTCTCATGGTTCTTTAAAAGAAGATTTTTTAAGTTTTTACTATATGCATCAAGGGAAAATCAATGACCTCCCGGGGCCGGGCCAATTTTGACCCCAGGGCTTTAATTTGAACAAACTTGGTAGACACTCACTAGAAGATGTTTCATGCTTAATATCTTAGCTCTAGCTCTTTGGGTTCTTTAAAAGAATATTTTTTAAGTTTTTACTATATGCACATAGGGAAAAATCAATGACCCCCTGGGGCGGGCCAATTTTGACCCCAGGGCTTTTATTTGAACAAACTAGGTAGACATTCACTAGATGTTTCATGCCAAATATCTAAGCTCTAGCTCTTACGGTTCTTTAAAAGAAATTTTTTTAAGTTTTTACTATATGCATATAGGGAAAATCAATGACCCCCTGGGGCGGGGCCAATTTTGACCCCAGGGCTTTTATTTGAACAAACTTGGTAGACACTCACTAGAAAATGTTTCATGCTAAATATCTTAGCTTTAGCTCTTTGGGTTCTTTAAAAGAAGATTTTTTAAGGTTTTACTATATGCATATAGGGAAAATCAATGACCCCCTGGGGCGGGGCCAATTTTGACCCAAGGGCTTTTATTTGAACAAACTTGGTAGACATTCACTAGAAGATGTTCCATGCCAAATATCTAAGCTCTACCTTTTAGGGTTGTTTAAAAGAAGATATTTAAAGATTTTTCTTTCGGTTGCCATGGCAACCAGAGTTCTGCATGAAATTATTCTTTGAACAATTTTTAAAGGTGACCACCAAAGGAACATTCCTGTGAAGTTTGGATGAAATTGGCTCAATGGTTTATGAGGAGATGTCATTTAAAGCAAAAGTTTACGGACGGACGCCGGACGGACGCCTGACGAAAAGCGATCACAAAAGCTCACCCTGTCACTTTGTGACAGGTGAGCTAAAAATTCACTCACATTTTTAAAGAATGCAAGCTGAAATAAAAACCTTGAAGATGTCTCATCCTACTTTTCCAGCCCCCATCCTCCTTCAAACAAGTCTTTAACTTGTCAATTTTGATAGGCAAACATGTTTGGACAATAACCTCATAGAGTTTGATATTATTGAAAGATGTGTTAGACAATATCAAACTTCACCTAGAAGTCCAAAGCATTCAGAATGAATGGGCTGCACCATGTTAATATTTGTAAGTTAAACTTACGAGTAAACAAAACAACTTACTCATGGCAGACAGGAAATAGTACACTTGTGATCACTTAACAAATGCAGCAATGTTTTGTACCAAAATGGCAAATGTTATTCCTTATAAATCATTTATTGAAACTCATACAAATGTCATTCTAATTACTTTATTTTTGGTAAATACATAATGCTTGCCTTAACAACCTGACAAGTCAATATGGTTTATTGCATTATTAAAGCATCATATGGTCTATTACAATCAAATGTCAAAATGTCCTGTCAGTTTTAGCTATTTAAAAGTCAAAGCAAACAACATACTGTGTAAGTGTTTTGACAATTAACTTAGAAAGAATAAGTGAGCGACCAAGGGTTCTTCAGGCATCGAAAAATATTTTCAAAGTCACTCATCCTGCACGACGAGTAACTTCTAAATCCAATGAATGTGCAAGCAACATTTTGAGACTACTAGTACTGCACCAAGTTCCCTTAAATTCTACTTGTAAATATGAGCAGACAAGTGGAATTTTCGATCTCTGGTTCTTTATTGTTTAGGAGTTTTCAGTGCACATTTCACACAATTCATTCATAGGTAATGTCATTCAATCTCTAACAAAGCAGCATGATGTAATTACATGCTTCTTATTATAGGCTCTGAAGGATAATAAAAATAAAAGATGATTTGTCATCAGCTTCATTTATGCCTATGCGTTTGTTTATGAGAACTCTAGTACAATGTAGGGTTTACAGACACTTCACCCCCCAGACACTTCACCCAAGGTTCTTTTTTGAAGACACTTCACCCCTCATTTTAAGAAATTTGATTGAGACACTTCACCCCCCTGCAAACAGGACGTTTCGGCCCCAAACCAAAACGGCCTCTTTTCAAAAATCGGCCCGTAGACGTTTCGGCCCTTTTTTATTACAGTTTTATTTAAGTATAAAAGGAATTTTGATACTTAAAATCGTTAAAAAATGTAGTATATTGATTGATTGATGGCACACAAACAATTAATTAAGACACTAAAATCCTCAATTAATAATCCTTTAAAGTTACATTAAATAAATATGTTAAAATATTTTTGCGGTCGGCCTAAATACCAAGCATTCTAAAGTTTCATTAACCTTTTTAACAGCACTAGGCCTGTGGTTCAGAAAAAATAATCATCTCATAAAAAAGATTAAATTTGAATGAAAATATCCGTTACAATGTGGAAATATACTGTTAAATTAGGACTGCTACTTATAGTCATGTTTGTTGATTTAATATTGATGTACGGATGATCTGAAGGCGGAGTTTCTCATGCAAACAGAATTTGTACTTCCGAATTCGCCACAAAGAGGTTGCACATTTGTATGCTCATTAAACTCATTTTGGTTGCCTGGACATCAAAATAAGATCATGAGTCGATTTGAAACCCAATAAAAAGCAATTTATTAATGAAATGTCGCTATTTCTTTTTTTATGAAATTTATTTAATGTAACTTTAAAGATTTATCAATCCCTTAATTTAACTATTGAGATAAATGCTATTTTTTTTTCAATGTGTAACAATAAAAGACACTGAATCCTTAATTTATAAGACGTTTTGATTAACAAAGTTAATTACAATTATACCTCAAAAATCGTTATCTTTTGATCTCTATTTATCATTTATGCCGTTGACCCGTATTTTCGGGGGTTTAATGTTTTAAATTAAAGCCACCGTTTTTAAATTAAAAGTAAATGGAAGACAAAAAACATCCAACAGTGAGTAAAAACTATGACAAACAAAAAAGAAACCCCTTAAAATATGAAAATAAACTATTTCAATTAAGAAATCCTAATCTTTTACTTTCACTATTGGTAGTCTGTGTCACTCGGAAGCTGTCTCATATTTTTGGGGATTTTGATTGGATGGCCTTGTTTCAGTAGTTACGTTGCACGCGCTCAATTTCCATACTGCACTCAATTACTTCCGGACATTGGTTTAAGTTAGGTATAAGTTCCGGTGATGAATTTTAGGCGAAGATACGTTTTTTGTTCTTTTTTGTTGCTGTGTAGTTGAAAATAACGTATAGAAATGAGAAAAGATAAAATTATAATTGTAATGACATTGACAGATTTATATTTATGTGTTTAATATGTTTAGTACGAATTCTTATGGTAGTAATTTATAGAAATAAGTGTCGGCGAAAACTTGATGCTTTTTTGGAGAGTCCAATCAATCACACGAGCTGTCATTCACAACTGGACATGACGCCACGAAAATATGAGAACCCCCGAAAATATGAGAACAAGGCATAACAGCTATTAAACTATTTAGATTTATGTTGTTTTTTTCAAGGTGCAACAAATTAATCATTTATAGCTGATTGCTAATAAGCTATCAGTAATATCAAAGAATTTTTTTTAAATTATGATATGTTATAAATTCTTGAAAATATTTAGAGTTATTATTGAAATGTTCTGATTGAAAATCAGTCACTTTAAATGTATAAAAATGATATTTATAAAAAAAAGTCTGTTTTATTCATGATAGTACAAGTATAATTTTTCAACTGTTATGTGTTGTATTGCTGAAACTCGTCACTTACTATTAATTTAATAAATGCTTGTTTCATATATTGTTCTGTGTCTTGTTTTTCAATCGTTCAAATAAAAAAATAATACCTGTTGATGATAAACAGGCAAAATTCTGTTTCAGTGTTCGTGTACTAAATATGGGGCCGATTTGGCAAAGGGCTGAAATGTCCGGGGCCAAAACGTCTTGGGTAATTTGGGGCTGATATGTCTTGGGGCCGAAATGTCTCGAAATCCCCCCCATCTTTTTTATTTTGTGTTAAACAATAATTTATGTTGAAAAGGTTAAATACATGTATTCAACAGTGATTGAGTATTGTTTATTGTTTTAACAAATTTTATTATTATTTTATCATGCAATTGACCAAAGACAATGGATATATATTGTTGTTTTTGCCCTACAAAAAGGCTCATTTTATAAAGTTATTAGTAAGCTGATTCTTAAAAATCCCTATCTTGCTTCCTTGATGGATTGTCTATACTTCAAGGGTTTGGCAGTACTGACAAATAAATCTCTATGTAATATCTCCAATCGCTATATCACTAAGACAGTTTCTCTTATCAATAATTTATGTTAATTGACAGCTTATATACATTGGAAATGGTTCTGTCCCAACGACCTCTAAACAGCTAAATGGGTTATTTCCCCTGTCGCATTTGAAACAATTAAAATTTAGGCCATATGAAGAAAGTGTACATTAACTGGCGGACAAAGACATAAACACAAAAAGAAAATAACATTTCCCCTCCCTCGTAACCAGCTATTAGTAAACAACGGTATGATGCAATCGTAAATGTAAACAAAATAAATCCGCATGTTCTTCCTTACCTGACATCTACACACAACATCGGCGTCAACTGCTAACATGTCAACCACTTTCCCTTTACCTTCATCACCCCATTGTGTCCCTAACACCACTGTCACAAAATTATCGCCCATTTTTGGTCGTTTGGCCTGGGAGGAACCGTTCTGGGATATCCCGTTATGGGCAATATTCGCCATATTTCTTCAGCCTTGAGAGGCAATCAACTGTCATTTGGCGGGAAGTATGATTACACTAGGATTGAATAAATGCCGTCACGAGCTTCCCAGATATCTTAGCATGATTGATTTGTTGAAGCTGAGTCACCTACGTTGAAGGAAATAAATGTTAATTTTAAAATGATAAAATGTTGAAATGATTATTGACTAAATTTCTGTAACGATTTCAGACACGCTTAATTAGAATTTTGTACAAATATTTTAAGTAGTGTACATAGGTTATACCTGGCTTGTACGTTATTATAAATAAAAATGCAGTTCAAAGTTAGATCTGATCGGTAATTTGTCAATGATACCTATGACAGATGTTCCATTCCCGGGATTACCATATATCTAATACACTCACAGATCCAGGCTTAAGTTTTCTAAAGGTGATCGCGGGATTTTCCCGCCCCCACCTTATTTTCATTTCGTACCTGTAGATGAATTCCAGCTTTTAAGAAGAAAAAGTCCAAGGGAGATAGATCAACTCACTATAATTTAACAAACATCCATTTTCCAAAAGAAAAATTGGTAATCCATCCAAATAGATTGATTTGACTAAACAATTAATATTTTTGAGAGAATACGAATTAATAGAATATAATTAATTTTATTTCCAATCATGGGCATTTACATGCATATATAATCACATAATAATGATATTGTGCAAGATGTACAGAACTAAAAACATAACATAACTAAAGCTTAATTATGATTAGCAAACACAATTATAAAAGACTTGTAACGATACGTAACTAAGGCATATCAAATGACAATAAAGTGAATAAAAAAGAAAGTGTCAAATGATCTACTGTATATAAGTTCAACCAGATGTTGCATTTTTTTAGAAATTCTAGTCTAGATGAAAAACATTAAGGGCAAATTTGCTACAGCAATAATAGTATCATTATTCTCACTACACATCATATGTACAAACTGTTCTGACATTTTTTAAAGTTTGGTACCTTTTCAGATATATGAGAAATTAACAAAGTTCTTTCAAAATCATAAAGATTACATGTCAGCATAAAGTGTTTTTCTGTTTTAATGTCTTGTAAAAGACAACATTTGCAAATCCTATCATTGACAAGTATGTTTCGATATATCCCCGTTTTATTTCTAGTCTATGAGCCCCAATTCGAAATTGAGTAAGAGAGATCCAACAACATGATCTTTAATGACGCCCAAATAAAGTTCATAATGCAGTACATGAAACTTTTTTATTTTAGCAAGTTCTCAATTAATCTAATCAATCTGTCCATTTGGTTTTAAACTCACTTACAGCTAAGATTTTAACAATTTTCGATAAATTCTTAATATTCATGTAATGCTGATCGATGCTTGGTTACTGGCAGTAAAGGCCCTTTTGCCTGAATGGACTTTTGGATATCATGGAGCTTAATATCTCTGTAATAAAAGTCTCTGGGAATATGGACAGGTAAATTGTATATTAAAAAAATTGCTGGGCCCTGTTCATGCACGAATCTTAATTGGAACACTTTATGAATACCGTATGTCTCAATTAGGTCTTAGGTATTATAAAAGGATGATAAATATTGTTTATATTAAATATGTTCCTAGCGCCAGTTATAGAACTGAACATGATTACCAATTTCAGAGACATTCATGCTTGCAAATCTGGAAATAGTATATATACTCGAACCACGGGTCTCTGGATTGCCGTCCAGTATGCTAACCACAACACCACAGCGGCAATCCAGAGACCAGTGGTTCGAGTCCCGGCTGCGGGGTGCCGATTTTCGTGCGATTTTTTTATGTTTAATTTCCCGCTGATGACTTTCTTTCTTTCATATATATTCAGTCCTGAAATTCTTAGAATGATAAAAATATTTAATTTTCGAGTAGACAAAGGAGAAGAAGGACAACAACAACAACAACAACAAAAAAGTGCGATTGGGAGCATATTTTGCACGTGCGCGATGACGTAGTATGCTAGTATCGTTGATTGCAACAATTAAAAAAAGTTCGGGTATTGGTAATTAAAAACCCTAAAATTAAACTAGGAAGTGAAAATAATAAAAAAAATGAACACTTAATATTTTCATTGGTTACCGTTGTTTGCAACAATTTAAAAATTAAAATGTTCGGGTATTCGGGAAATAAACTAGGAAGTGAAAATAATCAAAATAAACATTCAAGTTATATTTTCATTGGTTAAATACCATCATACAGTATATGCACAGGAACTTGAAATTCTATCACTATTAACGATAATATGCAAAATATACCCCCTATATACTATAAAAAAACACTATATAAAATAGTATATAGAGGGTATATTTGGATATTATAATTAATATTGGTTATTTGATAGAATTTCAAGTTCCTGTGGTATATGTTTATCAATTTTTTGAAGGATATGTATACATACTGTACAGTACACCAAGAGGGCAAATGATATGGTTTTAAGTGAATTATTTCAACATATACTGTATGGGATGAAATATAAAAATGTTAAAGGGCCGATATTGGGCTGGAAACCTTAAGAACTATATTTAGATCTAATACAAATGTTTCAAAAATGTAAGCTTTTTTAATTTTTAATAAATTATAAATTTCAAAAATATTACGGAAATCTGAAAAGAGAGCACTACAATTATTACTAAGATTTCGGTTTAGTTATTTACATAGTGACTTTTAAATGCATTTTTTCACGGATTTATATTACATTAAATCCATGATTTTACTGAGTAGCACGTTATATTTCCAGAACTCCTAAACGGACGACACTGGCACAGATTATATCTTATACTTCAAGGTCGTTTATATTTAGACATTTCCCATGGCAGCCATGTTGGCTGGACGTTCGCGGAGTATCCCGCAACTATTTTGCCGTTTCGATAAATGCAACAAGTTTCTTTTGAAAACAAAGGTATATTTATTTATGTTTGCATAATTTCTGATTGATTCAAGTTAGATCGCACTTCTGTCCCATTTGTTTTGCTGTTTTACCAGAAGTAATACCCCACCCGTCTGTTTTCATGTTGTGTTCAATGTCAAAATAGAAATCTTTTCAGAAATTTCGCAATCTTTGAACTGAAAGTTTTGTCTGAAAATTTAGATACTCGAAATTGAGTTAGATTTATGGTTTTAAAGTGCAGTAAGAAAATATATTGAGCATACCTTGCCATTACAATAACATTTGCCAAAATGCTCTTCTAGTAGCTTCAGCTAACACGTTTAATAGTAGATCTACTGCTAGACCTGCTCGCTGAAGCCAATCCCGTGTCGAAAGTAAACCAGAACCGTGACATATTTATGTCATGCTGTAATTCAATAAATTTGCGTGATCTGGACAAAAGCTATTTTAATACAAGTAGTTAGATATATTTCGGACACTTCAGTTTATATTTTTGAACATAGAAAGTTAGATTGAAATTCGCCGCCATTGCTGCCCTAATTATCACGTGACTAGTGAGAATTTAGGTTTGGATACTTTGACCCGTGACGCAAAATTTATGCTATTTTTAAATAGAAACATGGCTTTGCAATTATGAATAACGGTGTATTTATTTAATAACAGACATTGTTCCAAAAACATGTTGGATTTATATTGTTTTGAGTGATGATTCATGAATTATTTGTTTGTTCTTATTTAAAATTGTACACTAACTAAAAAAGGTGTATGGTCTGTTACTAAAAATAGATGCTAGAATTCCAAAAACTTGAAGTCCCGCGAGATTTCATTTGAAACAGAAAGCAGACTCCATATTGGTAAACATTCTCTACATATTTTTGTAACAAATAGTTGGGTACACAATGTCATTGAAGTTTCATTTAAAAGCAAAATGTGAATTGATTCATAATTGATTTGTTTATCAAATTATGGTATTTTTAGGCGACAGGTATAAAATTCAGCACTTGGCCGCCATATAATTTGCCAAAATGTTTGACCACGTGATTACGAGATTGACCTATACTAATCCATGTGCTTCCAACTTTTTTATAAATTACTTTTTTTAAGATATTGAAACAAAGGTGATTTACAAAGGTGAATTTTTGTGTTAATATAATCATATTTAAGTACTAAAAAATTAAAGAAAATAAATAAAAACATTATCTTGAATTATAAATATTGAAATCATGTCAACAAAGATGTTCTAAATATAGTACACGACTCTACTCTAATCGGTTCCCAAGAATGACGTCATATGAGGTCTCGCATAGCTTCTAAATGTCATGGCCGACTGTAGTCGGCGAAATTGATGTTTTACAGTTAAATAGGCAATTTTAATGACGGTATTAATATTTTGATACTTTAAATGGTATAGAACAATATTAAAATAATTGTTTCATCGCAAAATGCTCAATAATTGATTGGGACCAGGGTATTGCAAGTGAAAAATAGGGTTATATCAACTTATGTTATTCTGGTTAGGTTTCGAAACAGGACTAATCCAAAACTTTAATGCCGCATCAGATGAAAAACAAAATATTAAAAAGCAGCTTATAAAGTTTTGGAAGCCAGAACTAAGATACTGTATGTATAATTATAGTCCTTATTGACCCATTGGGCAGCAAGATGCTGCACTGATTCAGAATGCTACCTAATGGGTCAATAAGGACTATAATTATACATACAGTATCTCAGCCATGCTTGATTTTCTAGAGTGGAGAAGTCTTTGTCTAGAAAGTAAAGATGAATAAATCAGCGCCTTATATTAATGCTTCAAAACTGTTCTACATCCTGCAAAATAAGGTTGCCATTCCCCTTCCTGACTACCTCAAACCAATAACTAGACCAACTCCAAATTCCCATTTCCTTGCTTTCAAACAAATTCAAACAACTACTGATTACTATAAATATTCTTCCCAGGACCATTTTTCATTGGAATGCCATGTCCCCAGATCTGGGCCCTAGTTTAATAAGGCTGTAAGTTAGATTAATCAAACCCTAAATACACACTGGCCTTGTTTTTTCTATTTTAAACTTTTATCTTTCTTTTAAATGTCTGTATCCTTTTTAGTAGTGATGCACAGTAGTGCACTACTCCACTAGTGAAGTCTAGGTTCCCAGCAGGGGGTTTGACTAAATGGAAGTTAGAGATAGGTAATGGTAGGTGGGTGAAAGAGGGTTCGTTAAACTGCAAGTTCAGAGCACTTATTTTATATAACAAAAGAAGAAAAAGACTATAATATAATGTAATTAATGGGTTTGCTTACATGTACTGATGATGTAGAGTGTCAGAGCATTAAAAGACTAAAATAAATCATTTTTAGAACAATAGAAATAACACATTATTTAAGTACTGCATTACATCAAGTTAGCAAACAGGAGACATCTGTGTCATGCCAAGTGGCCAAAGTTATTCCCAGTAAAATCTTGTTACTGTAAGACACCATACAGTGTAATCTGACATCATTTTCAAAGTGTTGTGTACCAATTTAAATATGTAAATGAAATCCTCGCAACAGCAGCTGAAATATTGTTGTTATTAGCATGTGATTTGTGTAAAATAATTACAGGTTTAAAATGAGTTTTTTATGGTATTTCTACAACTTTAATTAATGCTTACATGTATAAAGTAATGTCAATCCTGACTGCTTTCTGTTCTTATAAATGAATTTGTTTTATTTTTGAAGTACTATTAATAAATCATAAAAATTTGTTTTTTGATATATACTGATTTTTAAAAATATTTTGTTTTAGTTTCGACCAGCACAGAGACATCTGCAGCAATGTAAGTTCCTTTATTTCACAAGAAATTTACATTTTGTAGTGAATGATGATTTCTAAGACTTTTTTTAATAAAGAATAACATTAAAAAATATCAGTCTAATGAAGACTGCTCTGTTGCAACCAATTAAATAATTAAAATCAGTTTGACCTGAATTAACTTATTAATAACATATAAAAAGAAATTCTCAAAATGGTAACAATGGTATACTTTTTTGTTACAATCAAAATTATGTTGCAGCAAAATGTATTATTAATGTGCAAATTATACACAAAATTACTACTTTCTTTAAAACTTCATTGATGCTATTACAAATATTATCTTTCAGCTACTATTCGTTGCAAAGTGAGGTTACTCAAATGAAATTTTCCCACAGAAAATGTACATGTTTTTCTTTAACCATTAAATAGGAAATATCACCAGTTTTAAAAAATTGGGCATATTATTTTACAGTCAAAGATTTGAAAATTTATAGTTCATTTACCATGATTTAGTTGAAATACAAAAGTTATGGTAATGATCAAAAGATACATAGATATATATAAATAAGCAAAAGAGAGTTTAAAAATATTTATTACAGTTAAGCACAATTATCTGCTTATTACATAAGTAAATACCCCATTAATTTCCACATTGATGCATATATTTACTTACATTTTACATGGCAGGTTCCAGTCTATCAACAAAGTTTGTTCCAGTTACCACAGTGCAAAGGTTAGATTGAGTCTTGTACACATAAATATTTCTGTCTGCAGTTTTATTACCTGACTGTTTACATACATATTGAAGTTTTTGACGTCAAAATCACATTAGTAGCCCAATCAGATTGTTGATGAGAAAGATCTTCACAAAATATGCCAATTTCAGTTTCTATCAGCTTTGTTCAGTTTCATAAATTTAATTGTTTATTTCTTGTATCCTTTTATTTTAGAATATATTTTATTATAAAGATTTTATAAAACATTTTATATCAGATAATATCCAGATTTCCTGACTTGAATAATAATGAATACTGGAAAAAAAAGCATTCAATTAAATGAATTTAACTATTTATATTGAAAAGACAAGCAAGTTATTTGTAGAAAACGACTGTGATAAGTTTTGCATTGTATTTGATACAGAGGGCTTTATCCTGCTATAGTACTAGAAGTGGCCCTTTAAGGGCCGTTTCTCCCTAGGAAAAGTCTTTAAAATCATGCAGTTTTCGCCTAAAAGCTCAATTTAAATAAAGTTTTTTCTTCCCCATTGCAAAAGTACCAATGTTATTTCCCCTTCTCCTTCCTTTGAAAAATGTTAAAAGGGCAAATTATTATTTCTTGTTTTTATTCATGCTAAAATGTTTCATAAATTATCTCACTGAAAAGTGTTTATATATATATTATATTATAATAAATTAGATATGTCCCATTCTTAATTTCTTTTAAGGTATGACTTAGGCTTCTATTTGATTGTAGAAAATGTATCTGCAAATTATGTTTGCCATAAGTTTGCTGATTTTCTCAGAAATCAAATCTGTTAATATATTATTGTAATCTTAACATATATTTATTTATCACACACCCGTGCCGATTTTGCGACTCCGTAAAAATGGTATTGCACGGCCGTGCATATATTTTGACGTGACGTCATTAGCGTTATAGAAACATATTGTAAAGACGCGCTAAATGTTAGCGTTATACTATAGGCGCGTCAATGAAAAATGACTCTTTTTCCACTTTAAACGGTCTTAATTTTGGGTATGTGATAAATAGAATATTAAATTCGTGTAAGTTCATTACTTATTTTATTGCACTCGTTGAATAAAATAATATTATGCTCGCCAGAGGCTCGCATAATATAATTTATTCAACTCGTGCAATAAATTCAGTATTGAACTTACACTCATTCAATATCCTCTATAAGTTTATTGTCTGGAATTCATTTTAGCAACATTAAATTTATGTAAATCTGATTTATTTACAGTGACTACAGTAAACAGTGGTACTGTGACTTCCATCAAAATGTGCGGACATTTCACACAGCGACTTCACTTTGTAAGATACTTTTCAAGCTGACAAGCTTTTTCTCATACATACTATTCAATCTGCATTGTACAATATTCTAGTAACTCTGCATTGTACATATATTATTATCCCCCGCCGATGGAATCGGGAGGGGGATATAGTTTTGGCGTTGTCCGTCCGAGCAAACATTTAATATTTATGAGCTTCATTCCGTAGTTAAATAAAGAACAGAAGCTCATAAAATGCAAATTAAGAGCTATTTTTTTTATTTTATGAGCTGATTTTGCTTATGGACTTTGGTCCAGGTGTAGTTTATGAGCTGATTTACCTCTTAAATATCAAAAGTTGGTCCATCCGTCCGTCCGAATTTCGTTTCCGGAGTAGTTCTCTGCAACTAATGGCTGGAATTCAACGAAACTTTATGGGAATCATCAATATCAAGAGGAGATGCGCATATCGTCGGCTTATTCCGGTCTGACCCTTTAACTCAGAGTTATGGCCCTTGATTAGTTATGTAGTATGCATATAGAGTAAAAATCGTTTCCGGAGTAGTTCTCTGCAACTACTGGCTGGAATTCAACGAAACTTTATGGGAATCATCAATATCAAGAGGAGATACGCATATCGTCGGCTTGTTCCGGTCAGACACATTAACTCAGAGTTATGGCCCTTGATTAGTTTTATAGTATGCATATAGAGTAAAAATCGTTTCCGCACTACTTCTCTACAACTACTGGCTGGAATTCAACGAAACTTTATGGGAATCATCAATACCAAGAGGAGATGCGCATATCGTCGGCTTGTTCGGGTCAGACACTTTAACTCAGAGTTATGGCCCTTGATTAGTTATGCAGTATGCATATGGAGTAAAAATCGTTTCCGCGCTACTTCTCTGCAACTACTGACTGGAATTCAAAGAAACTTTATGGGAACCTTCAATACCAAGAGGAGATGCGCATATCGTCGGCTTGTTCGGGTCAGACACTTTAACTCAGAGTTATGGCCCTTGATTAGTTATGCAATATGCATATGGAGTAAAAATCGTTTCCGGAGTAGTTCTCTGCAACTACTGGCTGGAATTCAACGAAACTTTATGGGAATCATCAATATCAAGAGGAGATGAGCATATCGTCGGCTTGTTCCGGTCAGACCCTTTAACTCAGAGTTATGGCCCTTGATTAGTTATGTAGTATGCATATAGAGTAAAAATCGTTTCCGCACTACTTCTCTGCATCTACTGGCTGGAATTCAACGAAACTTTATGGGAACCTTCAATACCAAGAGGAGATGCGCATATCGTTGGCTTGTTCCGGTCAGACACTTTAACTCAGAGTTATGGCCCTTGATTAGTTATGCAGTATCCATATAGAAAAATATTTGTTTCCTCGCTACTTCTCTGCTACTACTGGCTGGAATTCAATGAAACTTTATGGGATACTAAGAGATGTGCATATAGTCGCCTTGTTCCAGTCAGATACTTATAACTCAGATTTATGGCCCTCGATTAGTTATGTAGTATGCATACCTCTCATTGGCATTTCCAGATTTTACTATTTAACGCAAAGTTATGGCTCTGTAATTGCCCTGAATATTTATCAAGTTCAAAGAATATTACTGTTTATGCCGTGATTAATATATAAATAAAGCCTTATGTCTTCAGTTGTTGTGTTAATAATAACCAGTACTCGGCGGGGGATATAAATTCAACGAATTTGCTTGTTGAATCTGCATTGTACATATATTATTGAATCTGCATTGTACATATATTATTGAATCTGCATTGTACATATATTATTGAATCTGCATTGTACATATATTATTGAATCTACATTGTACAATATACTAATAGTGTAATAGATCTATTTACTTGTTGAAATGAAATAATTTCGAAAACTTGTTTAACCTATATTCTCTCCTAACTTCAGGCAATGAAGTGAAAACAGTAAACTGTCCACCTTTTGCAGAATCTATCACAGAAGGTGATATAAGATGGGAAAAAGGTAAGTTCTCACTAGAGCATATGGTATTTTTTTATGGCAAGAATTAAACAAAAAATTTGCAGCCTTATTCAATGAAACTGTATACAGTATGTACATCAGCAACTTCTGTTTTTTCTAGTGCGGCTAGACAATGTAATTAGGGCTAGACGATGTAATTAGCCATCTAAGCATTACATACTAATTTAAACATAACATTTTTAAAAACATGGGATAATTGTTCTTGAATTGTTGTTATAGCTGTTGGTGATTCGGTACAATTGGATGAGGTTATAGCAGAGGTAGAAACTGACAAAGTAAGCCATGTAAAAATTATTTACTCTAAATATCCCAGTAAACCAGTAATGCATTCACCATTATTTTTAAGAGGCATTGAAACATTTGTTTTACTTGATTGGCTTTTATTTTGCTGGTGCTTGAACAAAATATGGATAGTAATTTATCATTTGCTTCTGATAAAAAGTTGGTTTAGGATATGACAAAAAATCTAACTTGTTAATGTGTAAAGTTTTATCATAAGTTAAATGTGCACATATTTGTTCCTTATCTGTATATAAAAAGTATAAGACAACGGTTATGTTATTTACTGTGGTATGCTATTATATAATATTAAATGAATTTGTTTTTCCCAGACATCAATTCAGATCCCAAGCCCTGTTGCTGGTGTTATAGAATCATTTCTAGTTAATGATGGAGACACAGTAGAAGCTGGTATGCAGCTCTGTACAATTAAAGCCGGAGGTAGGTATAACAACAAACAAGTTAGTAAAAACAAGTTAGTAATGTATTTCATAATGTATTTATACAATGTATATAAAAGAGCTAATGTAATTTATTGTAAAGCTTTTAATTTATTAATACAATATTTAATTGGCTGTTAATGATGTTTATAAATAACTAACATGGGATATCCATAGAAATCTTTGTAAACTGCAAATTATTAGAATGTATCAATTTGTTTAAGCAATTATAACTGTAGAGTATAATGTTATGTCTAGTCTGACAGTAGCTCTTGTTTGTGTTTGTAGCTGCTGCTGCAGCTGGAGCCAAACCATCTGAGCCAAAAGCTGCCCCAGCACCACAGGCCTCAGCCCCTGCCTCACCACCTCCTCCTCCATCAGATGCTGCAGCCTCAGGACCCATTCCAACCAGCCCTCCACCCCCACAACCTCTCCCCACAGGGCCAATATCATCCACACCAGCTTCAGCAGTAAAACCAGTACCAGCAGCACCTCAGATGTCTGCTGGTGAAATCTCTACAAGTGGCGGTAGAGGAGAAAGTAGGGTAAGATATTTAACTTGAAATATTCACTTTAAAGGGAAAAATAATCAAAAAAAGATACCCTTGGAATGGAACCTAGAAGTTTTAATTCTTTGAATTTAAAAGGCAAACAGGGTTAAAATTTCGACTTAAACTTTAAAGAGCTTGCATGGCATCAGCTTGTTGAATGCTTCTATACTAAATTTGCCGATTACCACATATTCATGTGGCATTACTGTTGCATTGAAATGAAAATTGTGCGTGTAATTTGCCAATTTGCATATAATATTGGTGCTCTTCATTTGTTTAAAATAAAATAAATATTATGTCTTAATATTTTATTTTCTGAGTTCATCAGAAAGTCACCTGCAATAATATGTGACTGGAAAAAATTCTGAAATTCTAACCCTGATAAGTAACAGGTCATGAATTGTTTTTGAATTTACCGATAGACCATTGTTATCTCATCCTGTTAAATGTAATTAGATGATGTATGTAAGAAGACTGTATTTGAATTGGTTTGATATTGTTACTTTATTTCACAGGTTCAAATATACAGATACATTTGAGCCCACTTTAAAATATATTTTTATAAAAGTGCTGTGTGATAACGGTTGTAACAAAAACTAATTTATTATATTTCAGGTGAAGATGAATAGAATGAGGCTGAGAATAGCTCAAAGACTTAAAGATGCACAGAACACCTGTGCAATGTTAACCACTTTTAATGAAGTAGACATGAGGTACAGTCTGAAATTTATGTCAATTAATGGTGACCAGTTCAATTATTAATATATTGATACAAGAATATTTTAAGTTGCAGAGAAAAGAGTCATTTTGTTTTTCCTTTTCTTTAGATCTTGAATTCTCTTTTTTGATTAGTATGGTAAAGTTGATTAATATTTTGTTATGAAAGTTTTCTTTTTCAAAATTTCACAAACTGAAATTCTTAGTGAAAACATTTTTAAGTTATATGAGTCACCAATAGATTTAAAAGTTTATTAGAATACTATGTATTAAAAGTCTCAACTCTAGATCATATTCATGGGGTGGGGTCTCTGTGCCCAAGTCGTTAAGGTTGATGACTTTTACCACTTGCCCATTCAAATCCTACCTGGGACTTGTGATTCTTTCATGTGTGGAAGCTATTCAGCTAGTTTATGGCAAGTTAGTGGTTCCACTCAGGTGCCTGCTTGTACCTGAAATGATGCACATAGGGATATGTGTGATCTGTCTCCACCACCTCGTCCTGGAAAGTTGCCATATGAACTATACTTAGCCTCAGTATGACTTAAAACCCAACCAGTAGGAATTAAAACCAAAACAAAAAGAAAAATACTTGTTCAATTTATTCATTTTCAAGTAAAAGTAATCAGTTTTTCATGGGTTTGAGGTCTATGTTTGCTTTTAATATGAACATAGTAATGTTTTGAGAAATAGATTAACAATTTACTTTTGACTTGTAATGCACATTATCACACTTGTTTCCTTTTCAGTCACATAATGGAAATGAGAACTAAATATAAAGATGTCTTCCTAAAGACACATGGTTTAAAACTTGGTTTTATGTCGGCATTTATCAAAGCATCTGCCTACGCTCTTCAAGATCTGCCACAAGTTAATGCTGTTATTGACAATACAGAAATAGTATACAGAGACTATATAGACATTAGTGTAGCTGTTTCTACTCCAAAAGTAAGTTAATGCACAGAGCTGTCACCTTGTGGCGACCAATGATGCCTCATTTGAAAAAATTCATTTGTTCATTGGAAGTGTTGAAAGTTCATTCTGTTCTTGTGGTGTTTTTTTTGTAAAGTTATAAAATGTAATTAATGTTTGTAAAGAAAGTTTATTGGATTAATTAATATTTGTCCAAGTATTGTTGGATAGGCAGAATGACATGTAAGTATTCTTCAAATCAGGTAAGTGGGAAGTATTATCAATTTATTGCTTAACATTTTTTAAAAAAAAGTAAGTGTTTTACAAATATAAATCTCTTATTTAAAAGAGAATGTTGAAAAATTTTACTTTATTTTAAAGAGAAATTCATTCTTTGAGTAGGTCAAGTTTTGTAAACCTTTGGATTGGAATAACATGTCTGATATTGGCTGGAAAACATTATTTTTTATGGCAAAAAGTTTATTCAATCTACTCATACTTTATGTAAAAAGACTTCTTTCACCTAACTGATAAACTGGGCAGGAAATTCAATGCATAAAATATTATTTTGCCTAACACTTAAAAATTTTGAAGTGAGGCAACTGTTAAACTTGTAAATACTAAATTTGTATTGGTAATAAAAAAAGCTGTCATTTTTTAATGATATGCACAATGTAATATTTTTCACTATGTCAATATATTCAATGTTAAATTGCCTTTTTATTTGTATAAGTGGTAAATAATTTCAGGGATTAGTAGTGCCTGTGATACGTAATGTTGAAGGAATGAATTATGCTGAAATAGAAAAGGCTATGAACGCTTTAGGTGAAAAGGTAAACAACCATAGTGATATTTTTCACCTCTGAGGTACATAATGAATTGAAACCAAAAATCTAGGCCATTCTACTAATCAAGTTGGAAATTCATAATAGTGACTTAAAGTGACATTATGTCCATCAAAGTGTTAATGTTGGGTTTACAGGTAAAAGTCAAAATAAGATTACATTTTCCCATAAATTTGTTCAAATCTATATTTGACAAAAAAAACAACAGTAATTTGCGTGACCCATGAAGATTTTTATACATATCGTTAGAATGTGTTGCTACTGTTCAATTTAAAAAAGAGTGGGGCAGTCTTTTTATGATTTAAGTAGTTTTTTTGCATTTTAGCCTAAACATTTTTCATTATTAATTATTGGCCGATCACCATTATAATGGTCAATCTTTTGAAATATACTACTAATTCAACTCAACTTTACATTGAAAAAATGAGCACAATGTCACTTTAAAACTGAGAAGAAAAAAAAAATGATGTAGATCTAGATAAATTCAGATATAAATGTGGCTGTTTTTAAATAATATGCAACTTTAAACCTTTCATGTACATCATTAAGTAGACCTCATAATGTCAGGTTAGTGCAGTAACTAGTTAACTGTAATATTGCGCTAATTTCTATATAAATAAATGGATAAGTAATAGTATTATATAATAATTAAACTGATAAATATTGTTTTTGACCTTAACATGCTTAACTTTTGAGATTCTTAACTTACTCACTTCTTATATCATGTTTAAGGCACGATCAGGAAATCTTGCAATAGAAGATATGGATGGTGGTACGTTTACAATATCAAATGGAGGAGTATTTGGCTCTATGTTTGGAACTCCAATTATTAACCCTCCTCAGTCAGCTATTCTAGGCATGCATGGAATCTTTGATAGACCAGTTGCTATTAAAGGCAAGGTAAGGGGCTGCTAGATTGATTGTTGAACTTGAAACAATCAGGTTTCTGTGTATTATCAAAATGTACGGAACTGTAAGACTAAAAACAGTTAAAATTTGCTATTAAACCTTAGGTTAGTTCTTAACTTAATTTGAAATGACATAGTATATGTTTTGTTTCTAAAAATCTTGAAATGGAAATGAACTATTTATGGCAAATTGTAGAAAAGAAAAAGAAGTAAGAAATATGTCCAGTATTGTAAATTACATAGAATCATTGTTGAATCTTATATCATTTGAAATAAGTATAGATAAAGAGTAAAACAGAAACATTATTTTTGTGCAAATGCATTCCTAGCCGCAGTAGAAAATGTTATTTAAGAATAAAAGATGCATTGTAGATATTGCTTGCTGTCTTTACAGGTTGAAATACGTCCGATGATGTACGTTGCCTTGACATATGACCATAGACTGATTGATGGGCGAGAGGCCGTTACCTTCCTTAAGAAAATCAAGTCATCTGTAGAAGATCCCACCACCATGCTACTACAGTTGTAATAATAGTCTCATTTAGAAGCTCTTAATATATATATCTTATTGTTTGTTAAGGAAGAGACCTATCAACAATTGATCTGTGTAATCAATGAATGGTTTTCATCTCATTTTTCCTATCTCAAAATATTGAACATTTGTTTGAAATTGGTGTAACATACAATTGGTGCATATAATTCTGGTTTAATACAGATCATCAGGGATATGTACCAAGTTATTTATTTAAGCTGAGAGCATAATGAGTCTAGGTTTATGTGTATGTATAAGATTTGACTAGGTTATAAATTTGATCTTAGTGTTTCACTTCAGGACAGTGTCAGATTACCTTCTCCTTATAAGTTATATCTAGGTAACTTATATAAAACATATTCACCAAGTATCATAAATATAATGTGATGACGGCTCAAGCTATGTTCCACTGTTGAAATGTAAGGGTAACTATCTGAAATAAAGTGGATTTTTCTATTGATAAACTCTACTCTTTAATCAGCCTAATGTAAATTCAAGCTTTCTGATATTGTAGCTTTAGCCTGGGTATATTTATAGCATTTTTTTAAAACACCAACTGTGTTGATGTACATTTGTGGAATTATATAAAAATGAATTGCATAGTGTCTTAAGAGGAGTTTGGAGTAATGGAAATTATACCTATAAATTAATGAGAGAACTGTGTTATAATTTGATAAACAACATTAAATACCTATTTGATTTTCTCAATGTATTTTTTAAATGATGCAGAATAGCATAAAATACTGGCAACTATTTTTGAATGTGTAAACCCAATTGCTACTTCACTTGGAGATAGAAAAAAACACACCTTTAAATGCCTTGGCTAGGAGCAGGTTACAGGGAAATAAAGGTCTGTTACTTATTTGAATCTGTTAACAGTAAGACAATATTTAGTTCGGTCTACTCCTACCATTTTATAATATTTGTTTAATTTTTTTTCCTGTCTGTATTCTTGTTTTACTAGGCAGGAATAGTGCTGAAATACCATCCTGTCATCTAGTGGAATATCTTTACTCATAGCTCCAGTGATATGTAAAGGTGAAAGTTAAATTTATCTTTTATCAGGCAATATAACTTTCACATAGTGACAGGAAGGTTCAATAATTTCTATGATTTTTATTCATGCTATGAAATTTTTGTTTCTGAGTATAGCATTTTGTATGCACATTAATTGTGCTGGTCTTGTTTTATTTACCCTTGTGTTGAAAGCTGATTTTTGGGGACCCTATAATAAATTTTTTGTCTTTGACTTCTGATATGAGAATAAAAAAAACAGTGATTGGTAAAGGTTTGAATATTCTAAGCAGTGTATGAATAATCTACTGTGTATGTATAATTCAGGTAAAAGTTTTGTTTTATTTTGATAGTGTGACAGTTTGAAATTGTCCTTACAATAGTCGTATCTGGATAAACATTTATCATTCTGTTTAATTTCTATGTAAGATGACATACTATAAAATTGTTAGGTTTTTATTGATAAAGAAAATAAGAAATGAATTTGTCTTGTCTCTTTCTTTAATTAAAACACATCTTTGAAACTATTATCAGCTATTAATTTGGAACTTGGAACATAAAATCAAAAATTGTTTTTGACTACCTTTTCATCCTTTCAAGGCTTGACAGAGTTCTGAAACTTTATGTTAAAACTTGCCACACAAAACTATCATACTTGATACTTACCAAATATAGACATTGTGGGACTCTGGTCCATTGCAAAGCAAATCAGTCAAGCTTTGGGTTTATATTTATACCCCCAAAAACGAAGTTTTTGGGGGTATATAGGAGTCACCCGGTGGTCGGTCGGTCCAGACGTCTGTTGCATTTTCCTTGTCCAGATCATAACTTGAAGACTAATGGTTGGAATTCAATATAACTACATACAATGGTCAAGCACATTGAGAGGAAGTGCAGTGCACAAGAACCATAACTCTATCTAAAGTAATTACAGAGTTATTGCCCTTTGTTACTTTTCCATTGCTTTCTTTTGTCCGGACCATAACTTGAAGACTAATGGTTGGAATTCATTAAAACTTCATACAATGGTCAAGCACATTGAGAGGAAGTGCAGTGCACAAGAACCATAACTCTATCTTGACTAATTACAGAGTTATTGCCCTTTGTTACTTTTCCTTGTCCGGGGCATAACTTGAAAACTACTGGTTGGAATTAAAAACAACTTCATACAATTGTCAAACACAATAAGGGGAAGTGCAGTGCACAAGAACCATAACTCTATCTAATGTAATTACAGAGTTATTGCACTTTGTTACTTTTCCATTGCATTCTTTTGTCCGGACCATAACTTGAAGACTAATTGTTGGAATTCATTATTACTTCATACATTGAGAGGAAGTGCAGTGCTCAAGAACCATAACTCCATCTGGACTTATTAAAGAGTTACTGCCCTTTGTTACTTTTCCTTGTCCAGAGCATGACATGAAAACTACTGGTTGGAATTCAAAACAACTTCATACAATGGTTAAGCACAATAAGGGGAAGTGCAGTGCACAAGAACCATAACTCCATCTTGACTTATTACAGAGTTATTGCCCTTTGTTACTTTTCCATTGCTTTTTTTGTCCAGAGCATAACTTGAAGACTAATGGTTGGAATTCAATATAACTTCATACAATGGTCAAGCACATTGAGAGGAAGTGCAATGCACAAGAACCATAACTCCATCTTGACTAATTACAGAGTTATTGCCCTTTGTTACTTTTCCTTGTCCAGAGCATAACTTGAAAACTACTGTTTTGAATTCAATACAACTTCATACAGTTGTCAAGGACATTAAAAGGAAGTGCAGTGCACAAGAGCCATAACTCCATTTTGACAAAATACAGAGTTACTGCCCTTTGATACTTTTCCTTGTCCGGAGCATAACTTAAAAGGTACTGGTTGGAATTCAAAACAACTTCATACAATGGTCAAGCACAATAAGAGGAAGTGCAGTGCACAAGAACTATAACTCCATCTTCAGTATTTATAGAGTTTTTGCCCTTTGTTCTTTTTCCTTGTCTATCTGGACTTATTACAGAGTAATTCAATAAAACTTCATCAATGGCCAACCACATTGAAAGGAAATGCAACATACAAGAACCACAACTATCTTCAATTGCCGACAACCATAACTCTATTTCAATTCTTTTACAAGGTATTCTGTTACTAGTAACATCCTCATTTCCAAAGCAGTCTTGTGGGGGTATTAATCACATTTAGTGATAGTTCTAGTTTGTATTGGTCAATAACTTTTGGCATTTTAGCAAGACCCATGTTCCGAGCTCAAGCGTCGAGGATCAAAATATCTACTAATATTGTACTTATGGTCTGTCTTTGACAGCATACTCATTTCTCATTTTCTGTGACCAATGCAAATGATGGGGATAGCTTGGACTTAAACCCTGGAAATCTTAAAAAAAACATTTAAGTATCAATACCATCTTTAAAAGCAATAAGTCAGTGGGCTTTGAAAATATCTAAGATGGTATGGATACTTAAACATAGGTGGTTACACTGACATCGACTCAGAAGCTTGTGGGACTAGGATAGCTCTCCTTAATCTTCAAATAGTGAGATAAAAATCAAGCAAAATTCAAACATTGATTTTGGTCAAGGACATCTTGTCTACTTTATAGTCTTGTCAAAGGGCTGTTGTGTCCAAGTATATAGGCAATCCATTAAGAAAATAATGGCCAACATTTAAGTTTCTGGATGGCTACGGACAACCTGACAGTAGCAATAGGTCAAATTTTTTCAAAATATATTTAATAATTAATATGCAAGAAAAAGCATAAAACACCAGCTGTTAGGGGGGAACTAGGCAGAGCATCGTTACCATTGAAAACAGTTAAGCTCGAGCTAGATATTCCCACTTGTACAGGTAGCCAGTGTAAGAGTCTAAGACCCTTGTATTATTACTGACTGATAATCATTTGGTTATAATGAGAAATATGTGTCCGACCAAAATAATATTTTCCAGGAAAAGAACATAACATGAAATTCATAATTGGTGACGTATACTTTTTGATCACAGCAATCTGAGCATATTATTTCACTAAGTGACACATTTTCTTGTCTTCCTATTTCGATAGATAATTTATAGCAATTAACGTTAGAACAATTTATTTTCAGCTAAATACACAAGAGATTTCGCATAGCCAAGTTGTGTTGAGATAGGATGCATGCCATATAGCCTAATGTGCAAGTAGTTGTAATTCCGAGTCTCTAGTGAAACTTGTTTCTAATTTTATCTATTTAAGTAAATTTGTCAGAAAAGTTTTTTAAAAGTAATCTCAGGAAAAAGTTTATAGGGACAGCCAGACAGACGGACTGCAAGACAGAGGGCAAATCTTTAAACATTCCTGGTTGTAACCAGAATATAACTTTAAGGCAAAATTCTGAAACCTAAGAGGAGATAACTCTTGAAATAAAGATCCTAGACTTATTAACAACGCGATACAAGATGTAAAGTGGTGACAAAGAACTATTTTCTATTTATTTTGTCTAAAGTCGATAACATTTATAGTAACAAAATAGAAAAGAGAAAAATATAACAATTTTCAAATACATACAATTGAAAGTAACAAAGCATGAAAATTAAAAAAAAATACATATAACATTTTCAAATAAATTCAAAGTTCAAAATAAAAATAATCCTCAAAACCCAGGCACTTCACTTGTAAATCTATTCACATATGATGTAGGTGTTAATAATGACAAATATTTTAAATTTGAAGTAAATCCATGAAAAAACTAGAACTCTGCGAGTCGGTTGTGTTACCTTGTGAAAAGTTTAGCTGCGACTTAGGCAAATTCTTCTTAAATATAGGTTATTTATAAACACTACTCTTATTATGTACATGTACTTTTAACTATAGTGGCATTTGAACTGATTGTAACAATGTTGTTTTATTGTGTAGGAGAATTGGCCCGGACAAAAAATAAAGTTATAATGTAATTAACAAAGGGCAATAACTCTAAAATCATAAAGGACAGAGTACCGGTTTTTGTGTACTGCTCTTCTTTTCAATAAGAACTATCATCCTATGAAGTTTAAAGTCCATAGCTTTGATAGTTTAGGTGAAATGGCTGGGACATGAATGAAGTATAAAAATTAACAAAGGGCAATAACTGAAAAAAATAAGTGCGGAGTGCCAATTTTTATGCACTGCACTTCTTCTCGATAACATCTATCACCCTATGAAGTTTCAAGTCAAAAACTCTTATACTTTAGGAGAAATGGCCTGGAAAACAAGAGCTGTCGGTAGGACAGCAACGCTCGACTATTCTTAGTGCTTGATAGTAAAAAAAATGCTTGATAGAGTTACCTCCTCCTGTTTACAGGTTGGGGTCATGATGGTGAACAAGTGTGCAAAGTTTCAAAGCCATATGTCAATGGACTTTGAAAATATTTGAACTATTACAAAAACTTTAACGTAAATTCTAAGTCGCAAAAGGGGCATAATTCTGTCAAAATGCTTGATAGTGTTACCTCCTCCTGTTTCCAGGTTGGGGTCATGATGGTGAACAAGTGTGCAAAGTTTCAAAGCCATATGTCAATGGACTTTGAAAATATTTGAACTATTACAAAAACTTTAACGTAAATTCTAAGTCGAAAAAGGGGCATAATTCTGTCAAAATGCTTGATAGTGTTACCTCCTCCTGTTTCCAGGTTGGGGTCATGATGGTGAACAAGTGTGCAAAGTTTCAAAGCCATATGTCAATGGACTTTGAAAATATTTGAACTATTACAAAAACTTTAACAGAAATTCTAAGTCGAAAAAGGGGCATAATTCTGTCAAAATGCTTGATAGTGTTACCTCCTTCTGTTTCCAGGTTGGGGTCATGATGGTGAACAAGTGTGCAAAGTTTCAAAGCCATATGTCAATGGACTTTGAAAATATTTGCACTGCACTTTGAGTCATTGAAAGAAGCATGCATATCAAGTTTGGAGTCGATCTGACCTATAGGACAAAAAGTATGAAAATTAACAAAGGGCAATAACTCAAAAATTAAGAAGCGCAGAGTAATGATTCTTGTGCACTGCACTTTGAGTCATTGAAAGAAGCATGCATATCAAGTTTGGAGTCGATCTGACCTATAGTGACTGAGTTATGCTCCGGACAAGCTTTAGGGGAAGCAGACACTGCCAACAAAAGTAACCCCTATATGTCATCTTTTTAAGGCGACACAATAAAGTTTTAGAATAAAAAGAGGAATTCAAAGTTTACAGGGGAAATAATTCTGATAATATGGACTGTAGATTTATAAACCTGGTTATACTATTAAAATGTGGCTGTTTGAAGTAAATCCCGTAAAAAATGGAGAAAAAAATATTAATTGCTAGAGAAAAATTTAAGTTCAAGGGGGACATAATTCTGGAAATAGTCAAGCTAAAGTATTGAATCTCCCATACATGATTTAAGTGATACATATATGATATGATCAACATATACTTGTTCCTAGTAGATACCTTAAGAAATAAAAGAAGTTAAGGAAATCAAACAACATTTTTTGATGAAAATTCTAAGTTCAAGGATGAGGATTCTAGTTAATATAGGTGTTAGAATTATAAACCTTGCCACATATGATGTGGGTGATAAGAAACATATACATGTGCTTAAAGTTTGAAGAACATACATTAAGAAATAAAGTAGTTATACAAAAGAAGACATGCCCCAAGCAGAATGGCGAGCCTGCTCGTCTTAATTCAAACCTGAACCTATAAAGCTTCAGGTCAAGGAGAAAGATGTTAACACATCCTCAATTCAAAAATAACAAAGTTACAGGAACAAGCAAAATTTGGACTTTTGACCTTGAAGGTAAAGGTCATTTATGAATGAAGATCAAGGTTAGTGTGGTTTACTGAAAGGTCTTGTCCCAAGGGTTGTTGTGGCCAAGTATGAAGACAATACACCAAGAAGTAAAATAGTTATGATCCAGGTAAAAGTTTGCGAACGGTAACGCCGCCAGGACCATAACAATACCTCTACTTTTTTGGAAAAAAAAAGTCGAGCTAAAAACAGCATTAACCCTTTACCTCATAAAGACCTGTTTTGACGGCTTTTCGATCCCCCCCCCCCCCCCCCACTTTTGAGGCCTCAAACAGTGAAAAAATGTCCTATTTAGACCCAAAACACTGTTTTTCGTTTGAGAAATGTTTATAAAAAAGTGATCACTTTTTCAGCACTGCCCCCTATCAAAAAAGTACATCAAGGGGTTGCCAGAAGGGGGATATGCCCCCTTCTGTTTGTGGGGTTTGAAGAGGGCGGTAGCCTCCCTCATCGCCAAGAAAATTTGGGACATGTGACAGGCTAAAAATGGCCTCAGGTTAATCGAAAGGTAACGTGTAACCAAAGCTAAAAAATCTTTTACACTATCTTAATCCATTGAGAAGTTGCAGCCATTTGAAATCAGTGCAAAAAACAATGCAAAATAGTGATTTTTGGCAATTTTGAGATGTTCCCCCCCCCATTGCCATGGTAACAGAAATTTAAGACTGAGCATGCTGTTACAGAGGCTATGGTCCAGTCAACAGTTGTGCCATGTTTCATCAGTATTGAAGCATTTTTCATAGTTTCATAGCAGTTTGAACTTGTAACAAGAGGCTTTTCAATGAAAACGGCCATTTTTCATAATATGCTCATGAAGTAAAGGGTTAAAACAACTTATTTTACTCTTTATTCTAAAATAAGCTAATACAAAAATGTGGTAAGTGGTAACAACAAGATTTAAAAGCTTCAATTTTTATTAAGTTTATTTTACACTTATGTATCAAGGATGTTTTTTTTTAATCAAACAATAACATAGAGATAGGACAATTGACAATGTAAAACTATTAATCAACTTTCCTAGATAGTCCTACAGTGTTGTCAAAAAGTGCTCTATTATGATATGTTCCAGTCTGGTCTACAACCAGATTAAATTTTTTACCTCTTACTTTCAGATGAAAATAATTTTTAGAATCAGCAGGTCCAGCTTGTGCAGATACATCTTTTAAAGCTATCTCACGTGATTTTGCTATCCCAAATGGTAGAAATGTTTGTAGTTTTATCCTCTCTCCTCCTTTCAACAGAGTTATTTCACGAATAAATCTAGTGGGGTATAGCATTGAACAAACAAGCACAACAAATCCTGAAAAAGAGGTTAATACACTGTCTGAAAGTTGACACTTAAAATGTTTAACACTAATAGTACGAATACATAAGCATGAAAATTCTTTATCTTTGTCAGCTGATCAAAACTATTTTAGATATTATTTGGTTACTTGGAAACAATCTTGACCAGAAGGATTTTAACAATTTCACATGGATTAATCCTGTTTTGTTTCCTCACAATTGCTAAGAGATTTAGGAAACACTTTTTTGTTTTGTTTTTTGGTAAGGTTTCGTGTTGCACCAACACAGTATCAGTCATATGGAGACTTTCCAGCTTGACTGATGGAGAAAGACTTCAGCTGGTGCCTTTCTTTGCATTAATCGGACTGGAACAGCCACCTGAGTAAAACCAATGACGTTCAATAAGCTAGGTGGATAGCTTCTTCACATAAAAGAATTCAAAGTCCTTGTTAGGATTCAAAGCCACAGCAATCAGAAAAATAAATAATTAAAGGTCCTGTTTGTTGTACCACACATAAGTGGAATTTTATATATTTTTAAAATGATGCTTCCAAAACAATTTTCAAACATCGAAGAATATGTAAAATATTGTCCACATTATATGTAATCATCAATATAAATGCTTTCATTTCTTATTGAAAAATTTGACTTAGATTTTATAGAAAATAAATTTCTAACTACCTCCCTTTATTAACATGAAATGTAAATTCGGTAATATCTTGAAAAATAATGCTTTTTGGAACTAACAATATTGATAAATCTTCATTTGAGCATTATATTTATGATTATTGATAACAGATATAAAACAATAACAAGAGGGCCATGATGGCCCTAGATCGCTCACCTGACCCATCAAACTCATCCGAACAATTACCTAGACAAGCATTCTGACCAAGTTTCATGACAGGTGAGTCAAAAATGTGACCACTACAGTGTTAACAAGGATTATCCATATTTGAGCAGCGTGACCTAGTTTTTTACCCAGGTGACCCATATTCAAACTTGACCTAGAAATCATCAAAACAAACTTTCAGACCAATTTCCAGGATACTTGGATCAAAACAGTAGCAACTAGAGTGTTGACAAGATTTTTCTATTTTTAGCTCCAGTGACCTAGTTTAACATGCGATTTCTAACTCATCCGAGCAATTACTTAGACAAGCATCCTGACCAAGTTTGATGATAATTGAGTCAAAAATGTGACCACTAGAGTGTTAAAAGGTTTTTCCATATTTGGGCGGTGTGACCTAGTTTTTCATCCGAGATGACCCATGTTCAAACTTTCAACACCAACAAACTTTCAGACCAATTTACAGGATATTTGGATCAAAACAGTAGCCACTACGGTGTTTTTTATTTTTAGCTCCTGTGACCTAGTTTTTCATCCGAGATGTCCCATGTTCGATTTATTCCCAGCAATTACCTAGACAAGTTTCCTGACCACTAGAGTGTAAATAAGGTTTTTCTATTTTTAGCTCCTGTGACCTAGTTTTTCATCCGAGATGTCCCATGTTCGATTTATTCCCAGCAATTACCTAGACAAGTTTCCTGACCACTAGAGTGTAAATAAGGTTTTTCTATTTTTAGCTCCTGTGACCTAGTTTTTCATCGGAGATGACCCATGTTCGAACTCATCCAAGCAGGTACTTAGACAAGCATCCTGAAAAAGTTTGATGACACTTTTGTCAAAAATGTGACCGCTAGTGTTAAAAAGATTTTTCTATTTTAGCTCCTGTGACCTAGTTTTTCATCCAAGGTGACCCATGTTCGAACTCATCCAAGCTATCACCTAGACAAGCATCCTGACCAAGTTTGATGATGATTGAGGCAAAAATGTGACCGCTAGAGTGTTAACAAGGCTTCTCTATTTTTAGCTCCGATGACCTAGTTTTTCATCTGAGATGACCCATGTTCGAACTCATCTGAGCTATCACCTAGACAAGCATCCTGACCAAGTTTGATGATGTTTGAGGCAAAAATGTGACCGCTAGAGTGTTAATAAGGTTTTTCTATTTTTAGTTCTGGTGACCTAGTTTTTCATCCAGGATGACCCATGTTCGAACTCATCCAAGCTATCACCTAGACAAGCATCCTGACCAAGTTTGATGATGATTGAGGCAAAAATGTGAATGCTAGAGTGTTAACAAGGTTTTTCTATTTTTAGCTCCGGTAACCTAGTTTTTCATCTGAGATGACCCATGTTCGAACTCATCCAAGCTATCACCTTGACAAGCATCCTGACCAAGTTTGATGACAATTGTGTCAAAATTGTGACCACTAGAGTGTAAATAAGGTTTTTTTATTTTTAGCTCCTGTGACCTAGTTTTTCATCGGAGATGACCCATGTTCGAACTCATCCAAGCAGGTACTTAGACAAGCATCCTGATCAAGTTTGATGACACTTGTGTCAAAAATGTGACCGCTAGTGTTAAAAAGGTTTTTCTATTTTTAGTTCCGGTGACCTAGTTTTTCATCCAGGATGACCCATGTTCGAACTCATCCAAGCTATCACCTAGACAAGCATCCTGACCAAGTTTGATGATGATTGAGGCAAAAATGTGAACGCTAGAGTGTTAACAAGGTTTTTCTATTTTTAGCTCCGGTGACCTAGTTTTTCATCCGAGATGACCTATGTTCGAACTCATCCAAGCTATCACCTTGACAAGCATCCTGACCAACTTTGATGATGATTGAGGCAAAAATGTGAACGCTAGAGTGTTAACAAGGTTTTTCTATTTTTAGCTCCGGTGACCTAGTTTTTCATCCGAGATGACCCATGTTCGAACTCATCCAAGCTATTACCTTGACAAGCATCCTGACCAACTTTGATGATGATTGAGGCAAAAATGTGACCTCTAGAGTGTTAACAAGGTTTTTCTTTTTTTAACTTGTGTGACCTAGTTTTTCATCCGAGATGACTCATGTTCGAACTCGTCCGAGCTATCAACTAGATAAGCATCCGGACCAAGTTTGACGATGATTGAGGCAAAAATGCGACCGCTAGAGTGTTAACGAACTAAATGTGGACGGACGACAGACAATCATCGATCCTAAAAGCTCACCCTGAGCATGCTCAGGTGAGCTAAAAACTAGAAACGTGTCGTCAAACCACAGATGCCCGCTCATGCAGTCAAAATTTCAGATGTTACAATATTTAGTTCCAAATTTGTTTGCACAGACTATTTTTTTCATTATAACTTCAAAGCCCTTAAAACTATTCAATGTAAACACAAACAATTTTTATACAAAGTTCAAGGCACTGAAACTATTCAGCGTTAACCTTTTATGAATTGCATATTGCATATTTCTAGCCAAAATAATGACTACATATCTTTTCCACAGAAGTATGAGTGCTGAAACTGAAAATTCAAAATTTTTCCAACATTCAAGAGAGATAACTTTGTCCGAAATCATTGAACCAAGACCAAATTCGAACTTAAACTGCTTATTCATAAGATGTGTCTATATGTCAAATTTGAGTTCATTGTCATTATGTGTACAACCATTGGGGAGATAATGAACGGAAACTAAAAATTTCTGATTTTTTTCAAAGTTCAAGAGGGATAACTCTGTCAGCTATCATCAAACCATGATCAAATTCGAACTTGACCAGTGTTTTTCATGGCATAGCTATATGTTAAATCAGAGTTGAATATGTACAACTATTGGGGAGATAATGAACGGAAACTGAAAATTTCCTTTTTTTTTTAAAGTGAAAGGGGCATAACCTTAAAACCATGACCAAGTCAAACTTTACCTGCACATTTCTTTAACATATCTATATGTCAAATTTGAGTTAAATGTGTAATACTGTTTGGGAGATAATGAACGGAAATTGAAAAGTAAAAAAATTTAAGGTGAAAGGGGCATAACTCTGCCAAAAATCATCGAACCATAACCAAATTAAAAAATAAGCTGCGTATTCCTTTGACATATCCATATATCAAATTTGAGTAGAATGTGTAATACCGTTGGGTAGATAATGAACAGAAACTGAAAATTTCATATTATTTTCAAAGTGAAAGGGGCATAACTCTGCCAAAAATCATCAACCCTGACCAAATTCGAACTTGACCTGTGCATTCCATTGACATATCCATATGTCAAATTTGAGTTGAATGTGTAATATCGTTGAAGAGATAATAAATTGAAACTGAAAATTTCATCAAGGGGCATAACTCTGCCAAAAATCATCGGACCATGACCAAATTCGAACTTGACCTGTTTTTTTCATGATATACAAAATGTATCCATATATTTCAAATTTGAGTAGAATGTGTGCAACCGCTACTAAGATAATGAATGGAAACTGATGATGACGGAAGGACAGAATAACTGATCAGGGTAACACTATATGCCCCAGCCATTTTATGGTGGGGGCATAATAAAAATTGAGTTATAGGATCTATGTATGTAAAACGAAAACATTTAATTTTTTTTGCTTGTTCTAAAGAACAAACATAACAATTTATCAATATAAAAAATAATGATTCACTGTACATCAGAGGCAATTTGTGTTTCACTCCCAGTCATTATATCAGATTTTTTTAAAACAATTTTAAAGATATTTAAATGTGCATGCCTTGTTTCTAAATTTAGAAACTTAGTTTCCCGCTGTTACCCAGCTTCACTTAATCTTCACTATGCGAAACGGGGTATACATTAGGTATATCCTGGTAAGGATTTGCATGCATGGAAAAAAATTTAAGAAGTTAGTGCAAATATTACTGGAAGTGCCTACCTTCAGACGTTTTGGATAAATTTGGACCGGTAAGGGATAATATATAGCTGCCTTTTCTGTTTAACTGTTTTTTTCGTTATAACTTCAAAGCCCTCAAAACTATTCAATGTAAACACAAACAATTTTTATACAAAGTTCAAGGCACTGAAACTATTCAGCGTTAACCTTTTATGAATTGCATATTGCATATTTCTAGCCAAAATAATGACTACATATCTTTTCCACAGAAGTATGAGTGCTGAAACTGAAAATTCAAAATTTTCCAACATTCAAGA